TGATTGGTCTGGTTGTCACAATCGCTACCTACGTCGCGTTCCCGTCTCTGCGTCGCAACGCGGCGGGTCGGGCACTCATGAGTCTGGTGGCGGCGCTCTTTATTGCCCAGTTAACAATGCTCATTGGTAAGTACATGCACATGTAGAGCTTTCTAAGAACACGTGGCGATGCATCAATCAATTCAACAAAAGTCTTACATCACACAATATTTTAATGAATATAGGGATAGCAATCCTCAGTGTTTATTTCAAGCTCTGGCATTTTGTAAATGATGCACAATCTCTCTAAAAGTGCCTGAAGTATCCCTGAACTGATAGCAGAATATATGAATCAAGCATGAGCGCCCTCCATTGTCATGCTTTGCATATTAGAGGGCATGTCAACAGCAGGCCAGATGCCAGCGTTAGATCTAAAAAAAAAAAGTTTTAGAAGTCTTACACTGAAAATAATAATGTGGCTTGCCAACTAACAGTGCAAACAAAAATGTTTGGCTTTTTTTATTTGACCAGGTCTTGATCGCACTGACGTCCCCACTCTCTGCGTCACATTCGCGATCAGTTCCCATTACTTCTGGCTCGCCGCGTTCTTCTGGATGAACATCCTGGCTGTGGACATCTACCGCACCTTCGGCATCGGCACCAGTCTAAGTGACCCCAACGAAAGGTCATTCCTTCGCTACGCCCTCTACGGCTGGGGCGCACCAACCCTCATCGTCGCCACAGTCGCCATCTTGAGCTTCTGCGACTGCGTGGACGCCGACGTCTCCTACGGCACTGCGCGTGCGTGCTGGGTCGGCAACGGGACGGCCAACTTGCTGTCCTTCGGCCTTCCGATTGTTCTGATTCTCTGCTCCAATGCGGTCCTATTTTCTCTCACTGTGGCGGGGGTCAGGAGGACGCGGATGACATCCAAGCGGATGAATATCTGCCAGGGGCAGAGCGGTTTGGCGGCGGAGAGGTCTAACAATGATCTTTTATTGTACCTGAAGGTAAAACAATTACTGTTTGCATAGCAAAAGTATTTCATTAATACTCATAAGATGGAATTTTTTTAAGTATAACATAGAGGAGTTGAATTCACTCTTCTGTTTTTACTTATCCTCCGAATTCAGCTAACAGCTATCATGGGCTTCACCTGGGTCTTCGGCTTCGTAGCCTCCTTCTCAGGCGTCGAGTTCTTCTGGTACCTCTACATCGTCCTGAACTCCACCCAGGGGGCGCTCGTCTGCCTGGCCTTCGTCTGCAACCGGCGCGTGCTGGCCATGTGGAGGGCGTGGCTTGACTCACGGCGCGGACGCTCAGACGCGTCCGCGTCGGGTCGAGGTCAAAGGTCATTCAAATCGGCCGTGACAGAACAGAGACAAGCGGAGAGTGCTATCAAAGACACATATATTTAAATAAATATACAAGGAACATCTGCTTATGATGCATTTTTTGTTGTTTCAAGCAACAAACTGCTCAAAATCTTTTGAAGGGTGCATATAAACAACCAGCTTGTTGAAGTTTCATCTCAATGGATACTCATTTTGAGAAAAGAGAAAATAACGTATGCGCAATTTTTGGGATCTCGCATTAAACTGATGCTAACGCACGTAAAAAAAAAATGTGCCCGCGGGTATACTTTCTGAAACCACCTTCAATAATTGTTTCCTTCCCAATGATACCATTTCAGGCTGAATAATTTCACAGGGTATTTGGTGCCAGTAGTATCTTCACTTTGAGCAAAGATGTCCTCGTTAAGTCGGTAGGTACGTTTCGATTAGTTGCAAATGTTCCAATGTGCCTTTAATTAATAGACAACATGTTTATGGCCTCTCGTTGCACGTACAGTAAAAAACCTATACATGCACAGGATGAGTCAAAAACAGCGAAACCCAAATGTCGAGTCCATTGTATTAGTGAAGTTCTGCTTGTAGCACTTTCAAAATTTAGGGTATGAAAGCCCAATTCATAAGCTTTCTTTTAGTAGAAGAATCATTCAAACCACACATGTACTTTTCAAGTTACGGAATTTTAAACACAACCAGCGTTTTAAAGTTCAGTCCACAGATCACACGAAGGTAAGTGTTCTTTTAGCAAAACGAAAACAAATCACACAGGGACGTGTGTGATTTGAATCATTCTTGTACATGTGTACTAAAAGAAAGCTTATGAATTGGGCTTTCATATCCTAGATTTTGAAAGTGTTACAAGCAGAACTTCACTACAACAATGGTCCCGAAATTTGGGTTTCGCTTTTTTCGACTCACCCTGTACTTCATTCCGAATGTGCACGATTTCGCCAAATTTCAATCCAATCCAACTAAACGTTGAAAATTATCGTCTTTTATAACACACACACTACGGTTCCTAAATGGGCACAAATTTTTTACGGAAAAGTTTATATTTCATGCCGATCGGCTTTTGAAAATTTGACATTTGACGTCGGATGTGTTGTTTGTTACATTGATAGTTGGCGCAACTTTTGCGAAGTATTGTAATTGTAAAATCATTTGCTGTTATAAAATATATTCAGTGGATAAATAGTAAGACAAAGAAATCTGTCTTATTGTAAAATGATCATTTAAATGAAATATAGTGTTGTTATTGTATAATGATTATATGTGAATTGACCATTATCAATGTTTGTTGTAGCTGGGTTTTGATGAGTATTTAGTCCATTCCAAAGGCTGAAATTTATATGAAATACGTATTCTTGAAATAATCACAAAATAGTTGTAACACTTTAACTTATTTAAGAATCACTTACTTTATGTAATTATGTTGTAAACAATGCATGCTGGGTAATTCTCGCCTGATGACCAAAAGAGGGCGCCATACCTTTCATCTCGACAGAGCCTAAAATGTAAAGTTGTGAATGCAAAAATATTCATTCGTCATTACTTAACAACTTTTAATCAAGGCTGAATGATGTGGTATCAAAATAAACTTACTTGAATTAATGTATAACATCTTCACAAAAATTACTATTATCGAAACTGTAGTCGATTAAGTGTTGCGCGAACAACAGAGGGCGTCCCAATGTCTCTCCCAGGGTGCAACACAGTATATAAATTCTCAGAGGCACCAGTGATAAATCCCCATATTTCAAAATTCTTTTTAAAAAGACACAAAATTCTTGCAGGTGTTGAGGCTGCACAGACAAATGATGACCAACACGTCGTCTTTCAGTTTCCGTTCCAATTTTGCTGGGTTGAATATGACCTTTTGGAGAAAATCTCACCCAAAGAAAACCACTCCTAAAACGAATGATGTTTCCCAAACTGGAAAAGTAGCCATTTTGAAAAAGGATCTCTCCACAACATGGCTATAATAGCGCCACTTTTGGACCCAATTACATCCAAAATGCTCAGAATTGGAAGCCCGAAGTCCAGTCCTGAGGTAAAGTGTCATACGTCTTCAATCCCCCAATACACGGCTCTCACACCTCTGAAAATTAATATAAAATCATTTGACTGTATAACTTTGATTCATGAGCTCGGCGGACGGTTTTTATTTTGCAAGCCTAACCATAACACTAAAGTATGGCACAGGCAGACACCAGACTATTCCTCATCTGCATACATGTCCAAATATTTTGGACATGCAAATGATGCAATACCAGGGTGGGAGAGCAGGTAATGGTGGGCGCGTACTGCTCCACACCCTGGGGACGATATTGCTACGCATGCGTATCAGAGAGAAACAAGGACCTGTCTGGACGAGGGCGCTCTTTGCGCCCCCTTTTTTTAGCGCGATCTTAAACAGAACCGAAAAGGAAACATTGGTTATGAATTTTATCAATTTTATTTGTGCCATTTTCTTTTATAATTTAACGAGTCGTTGATAACAATATTAGATTTTTTACTACACAAGATAAATGGTTACATTGTGAACATTTTACGTACAAGAACTTAATATTGATTGCACATCACAAAACCTTTTAGTAACTATAACAGAGTTATACAATTTATTAACATCCTGAATCCTCCACTTTTCATATGATTTTACACACACTTTAGGGAGTTCAGCCTCAGTTAAAAATCGAGTGCATATAAATCACAAGTGAAATCAAAAACGTTTCCATGTGTGCAGTTTTGCAACTCTGTTCTTGCGGACACGGCTAGCTCTATCCCATGCCAGTAGTATAGCGCCCTCTGTGGTTCATCACAGGAACATTTACTCAGCATACAATTTTTAGAACACAATTATGACATCGAGTCCTTGGGAAAATTTCTTAAGTCTGGTGGTATATCTTGTACGTATAACAATAACACAATAAATTATTTCAATATTCAGCCTTTGGTATTGTTTAATACTCAACATTACACACACATTTACATGCAAACGAAACATACAATTTCAATTGAATATTATATTACATTAATGTGCTCATTTAAAGGGATTTTGCCTCCTGGAATGCGCCCAATTGGGCTAAAAAATGCATTTCTACCGAAATTATGTTAATTGGTAAAAAAAACACTTCAAGGTAGGATATAAACGTCCACACGACCTCCTTTAAAAACTGGGCGTTGTGTGTTATTTCTGTGTCAAAATTTTGACTCTCAAAAATCGAGCTGTTGAGTGCTAGTTGTGAATCCTGCCGCACAGTGCATCGCATTCTGCGGACGTGAGAGAAACGGCATTTGTGTATTGGTGCTGGGTTGTATTATGTGACGCACATACAACATGTATCATACATTGAATGGACACGGCTGGCAATACGCATGTCATGTAAACGACCGGTTGTTTTTTCGTCTTTTCTCGGGAACGCCAAGACATTAGGCTAGTTTCCTTTCAACCACACCTTTAAAATACGTTAAGTACACAATACAAAACATAATTTTACGTTAAGTACACAATCCAAAACATAATTTTTTCGGGGGGTTTCAGGTCGTAATGCCCCTTTAACATTATAACTTATTGGCCCTAAATCAGCCTACTAAAGTATCTTTTGTAAATATTGTGATAATTACATATCTTGTGATAATTACATATTTCACAAATCTTGACGGATTATTTTTTTTTATTTAATAACATTTAGACCGTTTTGGTCTAAATTAATTAGTGTTAATTACATATCTGTGGTTTTAGACCCACTTTCCACGTGGCTCTGTTCGGTCAAGGACGCTTTGAATGACCTCTGACCTCGACACGATCCGGACGTGTCTGATTGGTCGGCCAGGTAGCGTCCGCGCCGTGACTTCAGCCACGACCTCCACATGGCCAGCACGCGCCGGTTGCAGACGAAGGCCAGGCAGACGAGCGCCCCCTGGAGGGAGTTCAGGGCGATGTAGGGATACCAGAAGAACTCGACGCCTGAGAAGGAGGCTACGAAGCCGAAGACCCAGGTGAAACCCATGATGGCTGTTAACTGAAGGATAGTAGGAATGAACGTCTTCGTTAATGTTATTGAAGTTAAACCCAACTTCGTCCCCATGTGGGCAGTACGCAACCATGGGTAGCATTTTGTTGAGAACAAGGTTGAAAAAAGGGTACACCCTGAGGAAAAGGTTGAAATGCCAAAATACTACTTAGTTTCCACCAATCGACTGTTCAATGTTTTAAATATGCTTTTGAGTTGTGACACAAAGAAATGAGGAATAATTAACATTTTTGTCGGTTACGGAACATTTTGCGGCATTTCCTCATTCAGATTCTGTTGGCATGGTGGCACCATGTTTATTTTCTTCGTTACTTTTAGGCCAACACGTTAAATTTTTTCTGAGTAGTAATATTTTGTTTCTTTAAAAAATTCGGAAACTGATAAATAGCTATCCTTTTGTTCACCTTCAGCTACAAAACAAGATCGTTGTGAGGCTTGCTTGTTTATAGAAAAAAGTGATAAAACTTTAGAATAGAAAAGGCAAAAGTGTCTTCAGACATGTCAAAAATGAAGAGAGGGCGCTATTTAAATAGTCACAGTCGTCAGTTGACCTACAAGTAGTTCACATTTTGGAAAAATATAAAACGGCATGGTTGATACAGGTGTTATTAAAAGCAATACTACTGCTACGCATAACAGTTTTACCTTCAGGTACAGGAAAAGGTCGTTGTTAGGCCTTTTTGCCGCAGAACCGCTCTGCCCCTGGGTGATATTCATCCGCTTGGATGCCATCCGCGTCCTCTTGACACCCGCCACGGTGAGAGAAAATAGGACCGCATTGGAGCAGAGAATCACAACAATCGGAAGGCCGAAGGACAGCAAGTTGGCCGTCCCGTTGCCGACCCAGCACGCATGCGCAGTGCCGTAGGAGACGTCGGCGTCCACGCAGTCGCAGAAGCTCAAGATGGCGACGGTGGCGACGATGAGGGTTGGCGCGCCCCAGCCGTAGAGGGCGTAGCGAAGGAATGACCTTACGTTGGGGTCACTTAGACTGGTGCCGATGCCGAAGGTGCGGTAGATGTCCACGGCCAGGATGTTCATCCAGAAGAACGCGGCGAGCCAGAAGAAATGGGAACTGATCGCGAATGTGACGCACAGAGCGGGGACGTCAGTGCGATTAAGACCTGGTTATAACAAAAGTACCAAAAAGCTGGGTTTTGATTGCGTATTATCATTACACATAATTTAACATTATTTAGAAAAAAGATTGGTCTACCGCCGGTCTTTTCATCTCTTGAGGGCGCAATCGTTTTGTTCAATTAGAAGTAGATAGATATGTGGAGAATTAGCGTCAGAGGACATCAATTTTACATAATCCAGTAATCCGGAATCCAATTAGCATGTTTTGTAAAAAAAAAAAAATCCACGAGCGAGCATGGAGGCTCATTTTGTGCATAATCGGGGATGCATCTGCGCTACTTTGGATGGCATCTGGCCCTCTATCGGTGAGAATGAGAAGCAAGTCATATGAGGGCGTCTGATCCATCTAGCTGTTAAGCCAAAGGTCCGGTACTTAAGTGTAGGCTGTGGGTGTGATAGACTTGTGACCCCAAAAAATGGGGCTGAGCAAGGAAATAAATTCCAAACTTGAAGTAAAAAAAAAATAAAAAAAATAAAGGCAATGAAATCCAATATGTTTGCATTTCCTAACGGTCTTTCATACTCTTCATTAGGCCTACTTACCTACGAGCATTGTAAACTGGGCGAGAAAGAGTGCCGCCACCAGACTCATCAGTGCCTTCCCGGCCGCGTTGCGACGCAGAGTCGGGAACGCGACGTAGGTAGCAATCGTGACAACCAGACCAATCAGAGACAAGCTACTGCCGGTGATGGTCAAGATGTGGTGGGCGTAGTCCCACGTAAGGGTGGGCACGGCGGTAGAGGGCGCCCCCGGTGATAGAAAGTTACACACCTCTACGTCCCCGTTGGGCTTCATGTGGAACTCGCCATTAGGGAGCACGCGGTCGTGCGCATTGAGCCTGATCGAGTCGTTGAGGGCGCCCGTGATGACGTAATCTTCTCTGGAAAACGTCAACAGAGGGCAGTCGGCACTCACTTCCATGCAGGTATCATTCTGCGAGATCACGTGATGCCCTGAGTCATTGTCCCGAACGTAAGCAACTTTCGAAGTGGAGACATGTCTCACAATGGACAATGGAGTATCATTTGATAGAGTTTCGCAAGGAGTTGAGATTGCAAGATGGTCTGGTCGAATTGTATGGTTCCCAACCTCTCTAGCAAAGCACTGCCTGGAAACCATTTCATTCTCGGCAAGGAACTGCTCGATTGAGGGCGCCGTAGTTACGAATGTCATGTTAACGCTGCACGTAAATAAGCTACCTGTGAGGCACGCAGCCCCAGAATCCAATATGGCGACGTCCTTTGTACATGACCATTTGACACCCGAGTTGCCACAAAATTCATTTTCCTGGACGATCTGATTGTTCTCCATCCCTTCATCGGCGAATTTGCAGGCAAAGATTCCGGATTGATAATCTTTGCCAGCTTGGTGAGCAATTTCTTCCCAAATTTCAGTTGACATATGCGTACTTCGTGCATCAGGGTCCTGGCGGAGACTACCGGTGACGGTGAGGGCGACCTCAACGTTCGCTATCGAGCCAGTTCTCTCAGTCCCAGTCCCAGTCTCGCGAATTCTCGCGCATCTCACGCCGCCGTCCTGTAAGGCAAAGCCGTCCGGGCAGCTCAGGTCTCGGCAGGATGCCAAGAAAGGATCGTAGATTTGACGACGCGTGCAGGCAGAGGCGCTGCCCACGGACCCCTCATCAGTTAGACTGCCGCCGATGTCGGTACGGTCCGAGAAAACCAGCAGACTTGCCATAGAAAGCGGCGGAGCTCTTTGTTTATTTATAGATATCGGGCACCAACTGCTCAGAGTGTCGGTGGAAAAAGCCTGTGTGTCGACGTCGTCACACAAGCAGGCGAAATTCCGGTAGGTCGTCCCGTTCCAAGCGATTGGCGCGTAGTGCCTTTGGCAGAGCTCCAGCGCACGGGGATCGCTGATTGGACAAGAATCCGCGTCCAAAATGATGCATGTCCGAAGCGAAGAATCCGCTACGCTCTCCGAGGCGAAACCGGGAGGCCTGAAAAACTTCGTGTAGTTGTCACTTTGGATCTGACCCTTTGCGAGTTGCAGGAGCTGGCTGGTGTTAAGTGTTCTCGGTGGAATCGATCTTTGCTTTTCTTGGTAGGAGATGGACCAGAAGGTGACATTAGTGTGAGGTAGCCCGTGACAAAGGGCGCAGTAGACATTCCGGTAATGGCGTCCGTCAGATCCTTCCACCGGTACGGCAGCTAGTCCGGCCATCCCGACCGTCTCTTGGCAGAGCTTGCGGACTGACGCAGCCCCGGTCCAGTCCCGTGGACAGACCGCCACAAGCCGGTACCCAGACCGGGGCTTAGGTCCCTCAGGGTCAAACTGGACCGTCTGGACGCACTTCGTCAGGCCCCCATCCGCAGTCGAACCTGCTGACAAGCCTTGCTCGATGTTCTCGTCACCGGAACTTCTATCCCCGTCGGTAGCGCCGACTCCAGCCAGTGTCACACCATCTTCGTCGGTTCTGACTCCGCAGAGCTCCTCGTAATCCGAGCAGCAGTCGCCGTACGTTACGCAGAGCGGATCGCAGTGACAGTAGTTCTGCCTCCAGGTGGGTTCCCCGCAGCCTCCGCCTCGACAGGTGTGCCACTTGTTGCGCCATGTCGGACAGGCATACGGTATCTCCCTACCGGCCGGTGTGGTCGGCTCTTCGGCTGCGTTGGGCAGGGTGGTATCGGTATCGCGCTCGGCATCGGGGTCGGTAGCAGAAGGAATTCCTGACCAAAAAAAACAAAGTTGGACAAAAGATATGAATTCGCGCGTGGCACGGAATCTCATTTGGAACAAATCAAGTTTGTACTATTGGACAAGTACAACCTAGTATGTAGGTTGCAAAGATATTTACAGAAAGTTGTGTGGAAATCGATCGTATAATCACCATGTCGGAAGAGGTATTGAAACTTTGGTAAACTGGGAAAATCAATTAGAAGTAATAATAAACCACCAAGGGAAACGGGGAGGTCGCAGGTTCAAACCCTGCTCCAATCACTTTCTTTGTTTAATTTGATGATTGATTAACTTGTGGTCAAAAATGCAGGATTTTTTAGCAGTGTAAAAGGTTCTTACTGTCAAGGCTCAAGGCCGTTGAATATTTTAACTGAATCTTGTCCAGCACATGTTTCTAAAAGTCCACTCCTATGACATGCATAGGACAAAATGTCAAACGGCCATTGATTGAAAACAAGGAGCTCTTGCTGTTAAAATCACACACACTCAAATTACTTTTCACTTCCGACCAGTTTTGCACACTGAACTGCACTGATCTTTCACTTTCGTTCTGCCACATCAAAAATTTACTCCCTTTAAAAAAAAAACCTTCGATGACACATACCTAATTTACAAGTAGAAAACTCGAACATCTGTATACATGACACAAAAAGAACCAAGGTACCAAATTACATAACCCCATTACCGGGCATATACATGTACATGTCTATTCTTACCTGTTGTATTTGGTGTGCCTTGTGAGTCTGCACAACAAAGACACGTGACTAGCAAAAGGAACAGTTGAAGACGAGCCGCCATTTTCTTTTCAAACCTTGCTGCCAGCAGAACTGGCCGATTCCAGCCTACTGGATGACACGACTTGAAAAAAAATCCGTCGGAATTTTAGTCATGCAGTTCGCAACAACCATGAAAAAATATCTGTAACGCAACGGACGCCAGTCGTCTGGTGTGTTCTTCACACGGAACTCGACCGACAAATGAACTTGTTTTCGACAAAGTTGCCAATTTTATGCTTCCTCGACGACTGTACCTACATGCGTGGGAGTTGGAGGCACGCTAATCAGTGAAAGAATGAGCGGAAACGTGATTGGTCATGCGGTGACCTGACGATTTCCTCCCTCGGAGATACAACGCGTGAGACATGCAATGGTGCAGCGCCGGCGCTCTGTTTGCGGAGCTGCCGCGTGTTAATCAGCGCGCGCAAAAAAGCGGCCGATCGACCAATCAGCGTGCTCGGTGTAAAAACCCGGTCGTCTGCTCCAGCTCTCACGAGCTGGACGATGGAAAAACCGTTTCAAGTGCAGTCCAGAGTGGCAATCAAATAGGCAATTACTGGTGCAGATTGAATGACAAATTGCAGGGATCGAGTCTTTATAGATAATTCCCTTTTTCTATTTTTCTTGAAATTCTCATTTTGCAAAGACAACAGCGTTTTAATCTATGGGACCTTAGGGAATGAGATTTGATATTTGGTTTTAATTTGGACAGTCCAGTTGTTTCTTAAATTGAGGCCATTCAAAATCCTGAAGAATTCGGCCATTCCATTTTATTGGAGTCTTGTTTGTTTTTCTTTCCTGTATTCGTTTTGTTCTTTGTCTTGTTGTGAAAAGTCTTCTTTTCATACTTTTTAATGCCTTCTTGAGGACTTTATCTACTTTGTTTCCTAAAGTTCTGTAAGTTGTTTCTGAATAAGCATCAACTTCTTGAAAACTTCTGTAGTTCTTAAATCTTGTATGACATGCAAGTATTTTTTTTTGTAAGAGTTTTTTTTATCTGAAAACTTTTCGCCGTCTTCGATTGAAAACGTCCAAGAAATTTCTATTCATTCGCAATCAATTCAGTTGAATTGAATTGAATTAAAATTTGCAATAAAATGTAAAAAATAAAATGACACAATTGTCTCGTGCATTACAATTTTATGTTGTCCGACAATTTTTAATTCTTTTAATAGCAGTTTTTTTACCCATGAGCAAGATATTTTATTTCATGAATTTAATCCATTAATTTTTTTGTTTGTTAGAAGATTTTTTTTTGCACCGCTACAACTGTAGGCACTGAAAAAAGATACAGTGAACATTTTTATTAGTCTAAAGGTCCCTCCTCGGATCGGCGGCAGTCAGCGTAACTTGACATGAGGTATAAATAGCCATCAGATAGCCTTATTACCCAGATTCCTGAATTTCTTAATCCACGGTTTCGTACCAGTTTCGGCTTCATCGCTGGCCCCATAGTCACAACCCTTCAAGATTTCACGAAGTGATTTTTTTCTTAGGAACGGAAATTATTCATGAGTTGGCCATTTTTTGTCGAGTTCCCTGAACGAATTTTATTAATTGTTAACTGTCGAATGGGATGGCGCCAGACTATTTATGCAGGCACAATGCAGCCTTATTTTACTGTCATTCTTTTTTTTTTATTTGGCTTTAAACATTAGGGAATGTTTAATTACAAATATTAAATTATTCATTGAGGCTGACTGGAATTTATTATAAATTAACTTGCTTTCATTTCTCTTCGCAAGTTCCAAAATTAAAAATTTTAGCTAACTTTCAATTCAATATGGCCGACTCGTGAATAAGGCCCATTGTGTGCAACTTTCTACTCCTCTTAAATGCAAGAAAAAAAATATGACAACCCATTTTGGAATTTACTTTTTGGAAAGGGCACTTCTTTAAACACGGAAAATATGTTCCATGCCTTTCTGGACAATGAGGGCGTTGTTGCTGTGATGTCTGTTCAGTTTAGGGATTTTCTGTTCAAATTGTGAACCCAAACAAATTTGCTTATTGAAAATATTTGTGAGAAAACTTTGCTCATTGGCATACTGCCATGTATTGACACAACAACGAATCACCTTAGAAAAGAAAATTTACAGCAAAAATAATATCCAAAATTCTGGCAACATTTGGTGTTGAAATATCTGTAACATTGAGGTTTCTGTCTAAAAATATGACACCACACTTTTGCTCATGAATATGGAAATCTTGCATTTGCATAAAAAAGGCACCAAAATACCTTTGCAAAATGGCAAAATGAACATTAAAAATATAGGGTTAAATAGAATTTAGAATAGTATTTCCAAGGGTTGCTTTAAATAAATTACATTGAATGGACCTTTTAATATGTCTAAGCAAAAACGGCCATATACTGTTAAAGGGAATATACATCATTTGCTTTTGCTGTAATTTTCAGAAATGGATGGAATTGGGGGGGTTGGAAATATATAGCAAATATAGTTACACTGACTTTTTTGAGGTTTTGGGTTCGAAAATGCTATAAAAACCAAGAAAAACAATCATTTTCCTGTAGTCTGGTTCCCTGACTCCATATAAGAAGAAACAGAGCAGTTTACATACATTGGGGAATTGTAAGGTCAGGGAACCAGTCTAGCTGGCTCGTACCCGTTCATAGGTTTGTAATCGATTGCAAACAAGTGCGATGGTCAATTGGGGCCAGTATTTGAAAAAAAGCCAGTTTTTTCCAACGCTCATCGGCCGATCAGCGTTGGAAATTGATACAAAAATACCACTTTTCTTGAAAATGACAGTATACCAGGTGCCATGATTTTACAGGATGCTTTACACTGTCATTCACTAACAGTCCAGCAAGGTATTTCAAAATGATTTGGTAGTTTTATGTTTGCAAATGTTGTATTTTCCCTTTAACGTTGGCCACATTATTATGGGATTATGATATAATCCTGCAGCTAAACATGGACTATATAATTATTCAATTGTGCAAGAGCTATATTCAATTGTGCAGTCAGGGAGCGTAACATGCCTTGAAGCCGCAGCTGAAAGCGTGACTAGGTTTTGGAAAAGCCCTTCGCAAGATATTGAACTGGCAATAAATATGGCGAGTCGATTGTATGGCGCACTCGAATGGCGCGAAAAATGGGCAGTGGCATGAAGACTGATTGCAATCAGCTGCTGCAGTATATGATGAATGGTCATCGTTAGAAACCTGATGTCTTAATAACACTTAAAGGGCGCATGTAATGAACTGTTCATTCCAAATCATTTTTCTGTCGGTGAGAAAACGAACTGGTAAACTACGAGTACTTGATATTAAATTCCTCTTTGTGACCCATTTGACTTTATTTGCTATCTTTATAACATTTTCGGGGAGTTTGGTGCCTTTTTGGTTTTCATGCCAATATTGCAACTGTCCATATTCATCGGGGAAAATTGTTACGCCATTCAGGGAAAGAAAAGCGAGGGCTGAAATGAAAGAAAATAACGGCACTGCCGTGGGCTTTGCAAAACGGGATTACTGGACTAATTGCTAAATCCCGTCTTAACTCGTCAAAGCTCGCAATCCCTCGAGACTAGAAAAGGAAATAGTTCCCCGTAGCTAAGCTTGAAAAGGTTTACTTCCGTAGCAGAAGATGGCTTAAAAAGTCTGAAAAGGTCTAGTTTTATCTAAAATTAAAGGAAAAACCTCTTTGCCTGTTTTTTTTTTTTTTTTTGGCTAATGGAAAAGACAACAAAATCCCGGGGGCCATTTAAACACTTAAACAGAATTCATTTGTGTTGTAAGCATATGAAGTAGTCAATGACACGCAAAGATTTTATTTAAACAGTGTCCATACATTTTTTTCTATTGGTATCGCTCAAATACAAGGCCAAGGCCACTCAAAAAGCTGTTGGCTGCAGAGAACGACTGAACGTACAGAATGAAAGCGAGAATTACGGGTTGATAGTAGTTGAGAGTTTAAAGGATTATAATCACACAGAGCTTGTTATATTATCTTACTGCAGGCAGAACCAGATATGTATGGGGCTGACTATGATGAAACACCGTTATAACAGTAGCAGATTTAGGGGGTAGCACCTCCCCCCCCCCCCCGTTCAGCCGCTGACTGTGCGTTATGAAAATAGTAAAATGGAACCAATAATAATAAATTGAATACTGCAATTAGCAAGCTGCCTAATAAGAATACAGGAAAAAGCATATATTTGATTTTAACATTTTCCCGGGGGGGGACCAATCGAGCAGCAGGTCTTCACTCACCCCCTCCCGGCCCGCCCCCCCCCCCCCCCTCTTCATTTCAACCCCCTTTCTGTTTCCTAAAAGATAGATCGGCTATCGTGTGGTGTAGGATCCCGTTTTGTTTGGATCAAATTAGAATCAAGAATGTTTCTTTATTTCTTAAACATGACATTGTCAACCTAAAGCAGACTTCTCTCAATATAATGACACCTTTTGGGTATTTTTTGAACAGTTTATAGGGGTAGAAATTACGATTTTCCTAATCGGTTTACGGGCCGGTTGGTGCATGCCGTGCAGCGCGACTTGCTTGCTCACGGTACACATGGTACATCACGCGGTGATCGCCATCTTTGTTTTCGTGTTGCGTTTTGTCGTTGTCGTCATTTTACCCCCAAATTTCCCTCACCAATTCAAACCCTGCCCAACATCTATGACATACCTGTAGGCCTATGTTCTTGATGTTGCCAACTAGTTTGGAAGGTCAAATAATTTAAAAGTGGATTTTGTTCCCTTATAGGAACCGGGCCCGTAGATACACGATCGCCTATAGATCGGCCCCTAGTAATACTATCAAAGCCTGCCGCAAAAATGTGTGTGAAATTAATGACAGCGTTAGAATAGGCCTATGTGATATATACAAATATACAAGGAGGCAACATTTAATGTACTCACAATATGTACAATGTACCACCTCGAGGACAGGTGATGGGTGTGGTGGAGCAACTTAATACAGAATATAACACTGAAAGTAAAAGAACAGGGCTCCCGGGCGCGAATTTTCTTTTCCCAAACTACATACACATACATGTACATAGTTGTTTAGCGCCCTCTACGATACTTTTATGATACGTACGCAGATATATTCGTATAGGTTTTCCTAAAAAATATAAGCAGTGCGATAGCTCAGTCGATAAAACTGAGATTTGCACCGCATGGTTGTGGGTTCGAGTCCCCGCTTTCCTCTCCATTTTTTTTCTTTTCTAATCTGCTGCTTCAGGGGATTTTTCTAAAGGGAAATAAAGTCCGAATTTCATTACGTTGGAATTCGTTTCTTTTTTTTTCGAATTTTTTATTTTCCTTCTCATGTTTTTAGAGAAGTAAAGTCCGAAACGCCATAGCGTACACCCATTTATGTGGACATCGTTTGGGAGAAAAAATCCCGGCCCAGCGCTACTCCTGCCGCATGAAAACCAGAGAGGTGAAATACATAAGCACCAACCACCATCACGCCATGCGATCCACAGCTCCGTCTACTGGCCAGTTGGCTTGAGGGTAATCTCAGCACACAAAAAAGGAATTTTCCCCAAAAATGCACTATGTCACTTTGAATGGGTTAAAGGGAAAATACAACATTTGCAATCATCAAAAAATTAAACTACCAAATCATTTTGAAATACCTTGCTGGACTGTTAGTGAATGACAGTGTAAAGCATCCTGTACAATCATGGCACCTGGTATACTGTCATTTTCAAGAAAAGTGGTATTTTTGTATCAATTTCCAACGCTGGTCGGCCGACCAGCGTTGGAAAAAAAATGGCTTTTTTTCAAATACTGGCCCCAATTGACCATCGCACTTGTTTGCAATCGATTACACACCTATGAACGGGTACAAGCCAGCTAGACTGGTTTCCTGACCTTACAATTCCCCAATGTATGTAAACTGCTATGTTTCTTCTTATGTGGAGTCAGGGAACCAGACTACAGGAAAATGATTGGTTTTCTTGGTTTTTATAGCATTTTCGAACCCAAAACCTCAAAAAAGTCAGTGTAACTATATTTGCTATATATTTCCAACCCCCCAATTCCATCCATTTCTGAAAATTACAGCAAAAGCAAATGATGTATATTCCCTTAAACATATTTGCATAATACGGTAGCTATTCCAGCGTTATGAAAGGAAGCGCAATGTCAGTGACAGATCCAATTAACCACGATATCTAATTAATTGTTCAGAGAAAATGTTCCAAACCTCCTAGTCTGTGATCTCCTTGACCATCACTAGATGATGGATGAATAAGATTTGAAAAAGACATTTTCAGGTTTATTCACTGAGCTCTTAAAAGCTCCGTCACGGACATTACATAACATTGGAATTGCCCTAAAGCAATGCACAGAGCAACAAACGTTCTCCGGAACACCGGTGAACCGATAACAAAAGTTTTGTTTGGTAAGAAGAGTTGCATAATCAGCAGAGAACAATCTACTTTTTGGATGAACTATGATTTGAATGACTGTTGGACTTAGCATTATTCAACCAGTGAACAAAAACCTAAAACGTTGTATGCTAAACAAAAAAACTTAACGATGATAAGTAACAATTTCACAGGTCACTTTACTGTCGGCTTTGCTCTCATTTTGCTCCACACAAAATAAAAACAGCTTGCTGGGAGACAATCATTAGACTTGGCAATTATCCAAACCCGGTGGCGTTATAAAATGCTCAATCCAAAAGACACGTGGTCTAAAAAGAGCATTAAGATTTAAGACACATCCAGCTTTTTCTATTACAGGTTTTTTGGGCCGCAGCCTACAAATTTTGTCCAAGGGCGCAGAATGATGTTGAGTAGCAACCCACGCGATTATTCTGCCAAGACAACCGTCTAAAAAGACCCCTCAACTAAAACCCATGAGAGCCATAAAAACGTCGGCCCAAAAAGGTTTTCGGGTGATTTAAGATTCCGCTTTCAACGAACTACATGAGCACTTCCTAAGTGTGATATAATGCACTAATGTCCTATAATACAACACGTATGTTTCTAATTCCGTTGGTTTACATTTTAATGTTCCAAGTTACGGAGGTATGGCTTCGAAAACGCACGTAGGCCATGATGTTTTCCTGGAAGTTCTGCTTTCGAGATCAAGGTTTACACTGAAGTTGAGTCTATGGTTACTGGAGGAGAAATGAATGATTTCACAAGTGGTGCGTCTTGCGGCCAACCACGACCCATTAAGAAATTGACAAGCGTATAGAGCAGGTCACATAGTAGCTAGTGTAAACACAAGCGTTTTCAACAACAGATGAAGCTGAAATTCGGAATATACTTTAGAGTATATTAGTGTTCAACTGCTCGTAAAATCAAACTTGTAACGTTGTCTATAGGTAGTTGAACGAAAGTACAAAATGGTGGCGCAAATGCAAAATAAGCAAAATGAAATTTACAGTAGGCTATACAATATCTTTAAATGTAAGTTAAATAAAAACAGGAAACCCACATTTCAGGACCATTTTTTTTTAATAAAGTTCTGCATGTAGCACTTTCTTAATCTATAATATGAAAGCCCAAATTAATTAGCTTTCTTTTATTACAACAATCATTCAAATCACTCGTGTACTTTTTAAGTTACGGAATTTTAAACACAACCACCGTTTTAAAGTTCTGTCCACGGATCACGAAAAATGGTGTATTTTCTTTCAGCAAAACGAAAACAATTCGCACAAATCCCTATGTGAATTGTTTTCGTTTTGCTGAAAATAACACTTACTTTTTTGTGATCCTTTTTTGAAACGTTGATTGTGTTTACAGTTCCGTAACTTGAAAAGTACATGAGTGATTTGAATGCTACTTATACTAAAAGAAAGCTTATGAATTGGGCATTCAGATCCTAGATTTTGGAAGCGCTACATGCAGAACTTCATTAAAATATTGACCCTACCATTTGGTTTCCTTTTTTTTTTACTCACCCTGAAGAGGGGATCCGTTCGTAATTCCGTTACTGATTCAGTGTATAGTGAAGAGTTGACCCTATTATTTCCTTCTGTATATCCTCTCAGTTTCCTATGAGATAATGGTATCCAACCTTACGACCTTTTCATGATAATGCTTTTTATTACTTCCGCTAACTATAGAGTTTGCCTGTTGCAGGAAGAGATGCAGCTTAAGCCAATTCACCTGTGGTTTTTTTTTTTTTTTTCAAGTAACCTGGCGAAAAGAGCAGATAATTTTGTAAATCTGGTTGCCTTTTTAAGCTCTGGCGGCTTCTACACGTCACTTCGTGGTCGGTTGGTCGTTAGGTCTGTCCCCGGAAAATTGACCAAAAAACGGGCCCTCTATAAGTTTGCCATAAAATATAACTATTCCAACTGGCCGAACATGGACCAAATGCAATGCCGTCGTTAGTAAATTCACTCTTGGCGAAAGATTTCGGAACGCGCCCTTTGGCCTCGATCGATTTGCATGCGCGTCTATTCAAATGAGGGCCATAGTTTATTAGGCACTAGCGCTTGTTTAATACTTAGTCTCTTTTTAAATGACTTTTACTATTTTTCTGAATAAAACACAGCTTTTATACTTCTTCTTCAAATCAGTGTACCCTTGACCTAAATCTTTTAACAGCTTTCTTGAGTGATTCGTCTGCAGCTGCAGGAAAACGGTATAGAAATTCAAAGGACCTTCGGCTGCAGTCAATTAATTAATACTCAATCAAATCCACAAAGGTATTACCTCTCTCTCGTAAATTATAACAAAGAGCTCTGTTCCCCGAGACAATCCCCAGAGAAAATTAATTTTGCAGAATGAAAAAAGGGTCCATGATTGAAGACAGTCTTAATAGGATTTCTCATAAACCTTTAGAAGATTAAAGAAAAACACGGGGGCGCGTCAGGTATTTATCAAATGCCAAGGCCTTCTGTCGTAAAAATTGGTCAGTTATTTTTCAATAACAATTCGGCCGATTCTCACATAGGATTGTAAGAATTCCCTCACAAAAGGAGTGTTGTTTTCTAAAAAGGTGGATATCACTGTTGCTTGCTTGGCTGGTATATCTCCTTGACCGCTGGGGAAATTACCAATGAGATCCTGTTGATAACGAAACTGGTAGGAAATAGACTGGTCCTGCACGGTGTCCCATTTGCACATGAGCGTAACATTGAGGTTTCTGCCCCGAATGACATCACAGTTTTGCTCATGAATATTGAAATTCACATCAGCATAAAAACAAAAAAGGCACCAAAACACCCTTGCAAATGGAAAATAAAAATTGAAAATAAGGTTGAATGGGACACAATGGTGCATTTTGAAGAACTGCATTAATAAAATTACATTGCATGCCCTTTAAAACTTTTGAAAATTTGATTTACAGGAAAAGATCAGCACATTTCAGTCTAAAGACTAAAGAGGAAGCAATTGACGCATTTTTACTTTTTGTATCGTATGACCGCAAACAGATATAAATACCCGACCACGTAAAGCCGCAAAGCATTTCCAACTAATCCGAAATTTCCAAATGTCTAATTCTAAAAATATCAAATTACCGTATGATTTCTCTCAGTCATCACGCTCGACTGCCAAACCACAATTATATCGTTCAGAGAGCTGTACCGGTCTGTACCCCAACCGCCTTCTTAAAAAAAATAACAGGAAATCAAACGTGTGAGGGAATGACTAACGTGGTACCAGTACAGGAAACGTGTGATATTTTGACAAGGTAAAACAAATTCGGACACAGAAAAAAAACTGCGATAACAGATCACGAATTCAAATTAACTTGACCACACTATTAAGCAAGCAGCTTTCAATATTAACATTTTGTTTATTTACAACCAAACATCACCAAAGTTAAGAGCTCCATCTGTCGACTCAAAGCTTAAGAAACACGAAAGAGCACAAATAAATTCTAGCGCATGTAGGCCTACAACTCTGCACTATGCTATTCTGATATTAGTAGCAGTACTGATTAGTAGTCGCATTGTTTCTGAACACACCCAACATGACGTCACCAGGTCAAAGGGCGTCGTTTCCTCGGCGCACGTGACTTGGTGACGTAAGAGCGTTTGGCCGATTATGAAAGAGCCACTACACTTTAGTGTCCCTTACCGAGAAAAAAATCTGACTAACATTTCAATTCTTTTTCAAATATGAACATGTACGCCTACTTATTGTTAGAGACTTAAAGTACTATCTTGAAAATGATGCTCTTTGTTTAATTCTAATTATATTTTAGAGTCAGTACAAAAGTTTACAAAAGAGACTAAAAAAGGATTACTTGAAAAGAATATCAAAAATATCTACATATTTACACACGTCTTTTGGCAAAGACACCATTATTTCATATCTGTTTGGCAGTTGGTCCTTGAAAACGTCGGTGAAATTTGTAATATTACACTAGATTCGCAAACTGAACATTAAAATTTGACCTGTTCCTCAAGAATTCTTTAATTTTCCTAGTCAGAAGTGAAATACATGAAATGAAGGGTGATTTCATGAAAATTACGAGACAATAACGTCCAATCAAAGGTTATAATGTGTTCACACTATAGTTCAACCATTTTACGCTCAAGTCTATGCGATTGGTGCCGTCCCACTGGTATTCCGCGTGAGCTTGACTTAATTGCGTGGCTAACGTGCCACGGGGTGTCGGGAACCAGCTCAAACCATCAGTTCAAGATAAGCGTCTGGTTCCCAGTGTGTGCAATGCGTCAAGGTATAAAACAAATGGGAACTGCACATCAGCTCCAGCCTGTTGCAGCATTAGGCTCGTCCTATTAACCATCAAAGGACTGTTTGTTGTACAATACAAATAAATGCTACACAAAGCTTTAAGTTATAAGTTGAAGTGTGATGTTGCTGCTTTGAATTAAAACCAATAGTGAAAGCTCCATCTAAAATGGCTGCCGTAAACATGCTCAAAACAAGCTGTGCTTTTTCCTTCCCACAGTGCCGTTCTCCGAGCTGTAAATGCTGAACGGCCGAATGACATTTGTCCCGTTGCTAACCTGTGACATCTGTGACGTGTAAGAGATGTATTTACTCTCCTCCCAACGGCTGCTACCGTCCCCGGACCAGCTCGTGTACATGTAGATGTCCAAGCCCGGACCGTCTTCCTCCGAGAGCTTGGCCGGGCAATTCCACTTATCGACGGCGAAGACGCTCTTGCGCGCCCGCTCCTGGATTTTGTAGGTCTGACCGCGGAGGTTGCACTCAATGGGGAGGGCCTTACGCCAGGCCTTGCGGACATCAGTCGAACGGACGCAGAACAGGACAAACACCAAGAAGCCCTGGACCGAGTTGGCAAGGCAGAAGATGAGCTGGTAGACAAAGGTACCCAGAGTTATGGACAGGAACCCGAACGCCCAGGACAACCCGAGTAGGACGGACATGCACACGGCGTTTTGCAACCGAGAGGAGAGCTTTTGGAGTTGGGTCCGCTGCTTGTTGACCGCGTCTCCCATGTCGTTCTTAACGAGGCTGCGCACCACGAGGACAAAGGTCACCAGGTTGTGGAGGAGAACCAGCGCGATTGGTACCAGGAGGCCGTAGTACTGGGCGGGGCCAACATACAGGAAGCAACTGCACAAAGAAATATTTTTTTAAAAAAACACAAACACAAATCAGAAAAAAAAACAGGACAATATTCATTCCCTATAAAAATAAACGTTTCCGAAACATGTTGGGCAATGTTGTTCTTCGGCTCCCAAGGGCGGATCCAGAACACATTTGGGGGGGGGGGACCAACATTGTTTTTGTTCCCCGAAAGAGTCGGTACAAAAATGTTCCGCCCCGAATTTAATATGAAAAGCAATGGGGGGCAGGATTCTTCGTCGCATTGGTGCATTGTGGCGCAATTTTAATGATCTACGCAGTTGCTGCCTTCTTGCGCCTTTTAAAGTGATTTTAAAAAAATGGGTTTCTTTTTTTTAGGTGGGTGGGTAGGGGGGCATGGCCCCCGTTGCCGCACCCCCCCCCCCATCCGTCGCTGACCGCTCCTTTTGTATGGAATTACCACAACTTTAATTCGAGTAAAATTTTACCAACTCTTGAGAAAATAATTGCAAAAAAACCAGAAACTATTGATTATTACAATAACCGCAGAAGAATAAACCACAAAATAGAAAAAAAATAGTTAGCGAAAGAATTTTGGATATACTGCGATTGTACTCCTCAATTGTAATGAAAGTAACTGTTGTTATTAAATTCAAGTAAAGGTTTTCCAAAGTTGGGAAGATATTGGCCAAAAATAATCGACATGTTCATATCTTGACCAACGTTTGGCTTGAAGTTCAGCAGTACTGCTCAATTCTGTAGGGTGCCAATTTGAATCGGTTCTTTTTCTTTATTTACATGATGAAGAGTAATTATTTATCCATAATCTAAATATTTAGGGCCTATCCATATATTCACCCATGACTTACGAGTTTTTACAACCAACAAATACAGCTCTCTGACATCGGTTCTTTTTTTTTTTAGCCTGTCCGGTTTTGGACACTGTATGCGCTCATCACCCAACGCCCGTTTAGTTCACACTTCCCAATTACGAATCACCATTTTTTGCCGTTTCTATTGTCGCTTGCAAATTTGTGCAGAATAAACAACGTGACTGCTACAATAGAGAGCCCAGCAGCTGAACAATATTCACAACAAGAGATAGAACTTCAATTTTCAATTTTCTTCACAGCGCGGGATATGGGAAATTAAAATTAAAGTTGGCCTGCACTTTGTTGAGAAGAACGAGACATCGGGTTTGTATGATACTGGCCGTGGTATGCGGAGATACTCTGCTGTAAACTGTCGAGTGACAAACGACCGTTGCATGTTGACATAAAAGGCGGGCTTTAAATTAGCTCCTGGGGCTGTGACATTTGGCGGAATGTCAAAGTGTTTATTATTCCCAGAAATCTAAACTCCATCATTCTTAAAATGATGTCTTCATTTCATTTGGGGGGGGGGGAAATTAAATCCAACATGCCCAATTGTGTCATTGAACTTTAAGGAAACGTACACGCGGTCCCGGTGTCATATAAAATTTGGACTCCTATGAAATCTCTTTCCATTTACTGTGGCTCTAACCCTCACCTCGTGAACTGTGCGTTCACTGGGGCATGCGCAATACAACCATAAGACTGTATATCGTGGAGTCCAAATTTCATGCTACACCGGTAGGCATGCCCGAGCAGATGGGAGTTGTATACGCGTGGTGAAGATTTAATACAATCACAAGTCATAAATCAGGGTTGGTTAATGACCCAATTTGTCAGCAGCTCCCGATTGTCTACGGCTGTTTGATCCGATTTGTCTACGGCTGTTTCGTGTACGGTTCTTTATACTTACAAATCGTCGTGACGGTATGTTCCCATCGGGAAAGTAACACCGAACGTGACGGCGACGATAATCAGCGGTGTACCTGAACGAGGGGGAAAAGATTTTTTTCTTTTTAGCGACAATTTATTCTTTCAGTTTGTAAAAGTAGAAATATCCTCAAATTTCGGGATTGATGCAAAATCTCTGGGGTTCTTTCTTCCAAGATTCAAGACTGTAGTAAAATGTTCTCTTTTCTTTCTTTTATCTAAGCTCTGAAATGGCATGCCATTGGATAACCCGTAAAAGACTCACCCCAGGCGAAGGTGCAAGCCTTGAGCATGAACCTGGACTCCCTCCCCTTGAAGACCCGGACGAGGAGGAGGTACATATTGCGTGCCTCGACCCCCATCCAGCACATGGAGGCGAGCGTGAAGTAGTGGATGACGGCCGCGACGGCAGTGCAGATGGCCCCGTTGTTCGTGGCGTCGATGCCCGCTAGGAAAGCCACGTAGAGACACAGCAGGGCCATACACAGATGCATCAGGATTTGGCGGGAACGGGTGGCGCGCAAATTTCTGCCAAAATAATCGGACAGATTAATCTGATTAAAACAAGTAGTAATTTCCCGTTTTATCATCTGTGTAAAAAAAATAGTGTTTTGTAGCTGCTCACACGTTTTTTGTTTTAATTTTAACCGAAAAAATAGAATTTGTTTTTTTATTTATTATTTTTCTGGCTAAACAAAAAATAGTCACTTTTGGACGCGACGTCGAACAAAAAAGTAAAACATCTGCCCACGTACGTGGCACGTTCAGTTATGGAACAAGTAATATCGAACTATTTGGGGGAAAATGGAAAAATGGAAAAAAAATGGGAAAAAAATACATGATAAAAAAGAAATCTATTTTTTGTTGAAATGCAAGGAGGAGCTTTCAGTCTTTTACTTGCACTGATAATGTCCCTTACCCAAACACAACAAACGTAAACAGAGTCAGAGAGACGCCCCCTATCGACAGAGCGCAGCCAACTGCGCTGATGAAATCCAGAAGGAACTGCGCGACTGGTGGTAGAGATTCATCCTTCATGCCCTATAAGGGAAAAAAAGGGGAAAAAATCTGATAAAGTTCCATCATATTTATATTTTTATTTGAATAATTTGTGACGACGATTGGGTTGGTAGTTGTACAAGCTGTGCTCACGTGATTTTGAGCATGCGCAATAGACACATATAGAGAACAATAGCTAAAACTGAGATTGGTATTTTTAAAGCTCTGACAGGATATTCTACATGTCACTTGGTTGTCAGTCGGTCGGTCGGTCTGTCTGTCCCGAGAATTGACCAAAAATATGGTGTTCCATATGTGCCATGCTTCGCATTTTTCGGCGTCGCATTTTTTTCAGCTCTGGCAGGGATCATTTTGATCGATTTCATGCAAGACTTCTTACAACACGACCACAGCTTATTGTGCACTCGCACTTATTTACTGAAACTTCACTTTCGGCTTCGTGTAAAAGTGAAGTTTTCTACACCAAGACTGACCCCCAAGTTAACTTTGTTATCAATCACTAATAAAAGATGCAGGGTTTATGTTTTTTTAGTTTTAAATGACTTTTATGGAATTTTCATGGGGCTTATTTAATCTCAGACCTGAATCAAGACTAGGCGGTTAAAGCATCACCTACCATAAGCACAGCGAAGTTTGTGAGATGGTAACAATGGCATATGATACGGCCATCCTTGAACCCAGCGTACGTGCATCCGTCTGACGACCAATCACCAGTGCCGTTGTCCAGACTAAAATCCCAGAACACGCACTGCGCAACTCCAATAGACTCATTCCAGTCCTTCAATTAAACCAAAAATATGCAAAAGAAGAAAACGTCATTAGAATAATTAAATAGTTGCAAGTTGAAATATTACTATCATAATTTAATTCAAATTGAATAAATGATTGAGGTAGAAATTAAAATCACAAGTCTCTAAATTCCACAAACCTGGTGAGGAGTAAATTCCACGACCACCGGCTGAGACAGGTTCCGCAGCTGAACGCCCTCAACGGTGGCAGAGATGACACGACCGGAAGTGAAATAGTCACCGGAAGTATTCCGGGAAGCGAGCACGCGGCTGGCGTTCTTCGCGGGAAACAGGCCGTCGCTCTGGTACATGACGAAGCTTATACGTAGCGGCACTGGACTCCCTGACAAGAAAAAGGCGTGCGAACAAATTGACAAACTTGCAGCGCCCTCAATCAACAGCGTCCTCAATCGACAGCGATCGATCGGCATTTTTTGTTGTGACAGGTGACATGTAATTATAGTTTCAAGTAAACATGTAAGCTCCATCCATGAAGGATGTCTAGTTGAGTGGATAATTATTGGGAAATGATGGCATGTGTTTACGTTCTGATAGGGCTTTGAATTATGTATCTCCAAGGTGATATCAGGTGGCACGCGTGATGACGTTATCATGACCTCATTTAAATTCGGGCTATGACTGTCCCTCATAATGACGTCAACATTTGTCATAGCTCAGTACGTACCAACTATAGTTACAACCAAATAAAACCTAATGCTGTTCATATTAAAACAAATAAGCATCCGCAGAACAAGGAAGGCGGTAGCAATAAAATAGGTGTATAAACTGGATTTGAGGAAACGGTGACCCAATCTAGACCAGCGGAAATGTTTTTGGTTTTTTTCAGATGAGACTTCCGAACTGTTTGTGACGTAGCCCCTATGAATCCGTTGAGACAACATCATTAAGTTGTTTTTGTGGTTAGCCTCGAACCCACGTCTGTGCGGTTGCGGTTGGCGTGTGTGTACTGCACTGACTCACTAACCTTGATATTTAAAAGTAAACACCGAGCCTACGGGAAAATTGCTTTTTCCGGATTCAGTGTTTGTTCAAAAAAAGTACAAAACACACTAAAAGCTTTAAATGGTACAAAGCATTCGTGGCAGACTGACCCGATGAACAATAACTTTTTGTCACGAATGTCTAATTAGTGAACTCATTTGAAAATTACATATTTTTTTTACCAAATCCGAGACTATTTGCCACTGCAGTTCCAATATCAGCCGGCATGGTTATTGCTGTGTCGATCGGCCACGACATACCACGGGAGTCCCCCCTCTCTCTTTTTGGTACGATCCGCACACCCCCGTCCTGCAGAATGGAGGTGTCTGGGTCATCCGCGTCCAATACGGACAAGAACTGGGTTTCCTCGTCTTGTTGGTAGGGCTGCAGCGTGACGACGTTGACAGCCAGACTGCGTTCCGTGACCTCCAGAAAGTTGAGGTCACGTGTAACCAATGAGATTTGAGCTTCAAGAGACTGGACAATGCTGGAGGAGGCCCTACTGCTTGAGGGCGCTTCCTCGCCCGTCGATGCACTGTAGGTGACGTCATGCTCGCTGACTGACGTAATAACGCTGTTGACTGTTTCAATAACAGCTTTTGTAACCTATAATTGGTGACAGGAAATTTAAAAAATGTCAATAAATAATTGTCAATTTTTTAATACAATATTGAGCTATATCCGTTTGCAGCCCGAAGGCGACTTTTTTTATCATGATCGTTACCTCAAGTAACGGCGACCCTGCCTCGACTATATTCTGCAAGATGCTGGCGACGGGTTCGAGGTTGTCTGCGAGCTCTGACGTCATGTTTGAGACAGTCTTGGCTACGGCCTGGGAAACCTCCATGACGTTCCCTTCACCAATGGAAACCTGTTGGTGTCAAAGGTCAAAAGTATTCGTTATTAAATTTGACATCCTCGCTATCTTGATAAAGTGCGTTATCGACGCGCATGCGCGTTGATATCAGGTAGGCCCACAGCACTCAAAATGACTGATAAATTGAGTAATTACGAGTATTTACTAGAAAAATCATTGCTTCTCTTTTAATCATTAATCACTCTTAATTGTTCATTAAGCTTAAAAATATAGCTTAATTTGAGTGGAGGTTAATTGATATGTAGCTGCTGCCACCAAGTGTCACAAAATCGCCAACGAACGCAGACTGCGCATGCTCTGCAGACTTGTTTACGTACCTTCCGGAGATCGTCTAGATCGACTGAGTCTCTGACCGCACCACAGTCGTTAAGTCTCGGCTCACGCCACACCGCACCCCGATTCTCGTCCGGTACGCACTCACGCAATGCACGTATGCTGCCAGCTACAACGGAACGATTTGAAATGAGACTCATTTGGGCGAGGAAGGAAGAAGGAAGTCAACGCCAGTTCGCATGCACAAGATGTTGCCACGATGTGAGCTGTTCGAATGTGTAAATCATGCACACAAGAATGTCCAGTTTGTGAATGTTGAACGTGTTTTGGAGCTTGTTCAGTTAACCAGAAATGTTGTGAAAAAGCTTAAGAACGAAAGAAAGGTAAAATCGCCATTCACATTTATTTTGTTTCACATCTTCATGTTTTCATGTTAAATATATATATACAGCCTCTTAAGATTGGTTAACATAACCAATCATTGGTTCAAATAACCAACAATTGGTTAAAATGTGTCTAACCAATCGATTGGGTGGACACATATTACCCACTTGTTGGTTATTTCAACCAATTTATTTAACCAATCTGTTTTAGAGTATATTTACCGTTTTCAGTATAGACGGAGCATCGCTCGCGTGAAGGCACCAGATCGTGCGGAAGGGCGGATGTCCAAGTCAAAATCCCCTCAGAATATGGAGTGATCTCTGCCTGACATTGGGCTGTGTTGAGAAAACAAAACTACGACATAAGTAATACCACGACATTATCCAAAACAAGCGACTGGTTTTGTGAAGCAAGCGAGGTGTTTGTGTTTCTAATTAGGCACTTTAATTTGGCCAATTGTAGGTACCTGCTCAGCTATGCACTGAAATCTGCCAAGCAAATTAAGATATCTTTCTGAGAAGAAAACGGTCGTATGTTAAATGCCATTCTATTGCTGTTATTTATTTCTGGTAATGAAACCAAGGATTCCTCAAAAGCGCCCAATAGGTACTGTAGCTCGCAAGCCTAAAGAAACCTGTGGAGAGAAGACAATGAGAAGAAATTACAGTTTTTAAAGTGGGAGGAAAACCCCAGAATGATATTTTAGGAAAATTCCCACGGAATCGGGTAGGGACTGAAAACCCAATGCACATGTTGGTCCAGGCGGGATTCGAGCCCGGGTCACAGCGATGGACTAAGGCGAGGAAAGAACCGCTACGCCAACCTGACTGCCCAAAAAATGCCATGAGAGTATGTTGCGTGAGTGAAGCACAGCTTAATATTAAACTATTGCTCAGCAAAATATGTAAACCAGCGAAACTCAGCAGAGAACCAGTGAATAGTGATGTACTTTGCATGGCGTGTGTTGCCGATGACCAGCTTCGTCTATTTTACGTTCATCGTTAGGCCCCTAATTTACATGTGCTTTGCAGCCCCAACAAGTTTGACCGTAGGGTACCAGCCAATACCAGCGTGTGATGTACACTGTCTTTGACTGGTACTCTGTTGAATCGCTAAGCATTTTATTTCCTGCTTACTGGGTGCGTTCGAGTAGCTCAACCGGATCGACTCTGGTAAAGGCACACGGGGGGAGCACGGACATCCGGGCTAATCGAACACTCAACCGAGGGCCATCACGATCCTCACGTGTTGTCCGTAGATAGCCGCGGTCGTAGCCACTGACAAAATGCCAGTTTTGGACTGGGTTTTAGTTTCAGATACTGATTCCACCACTGACTCTGCTCCACGAGCAGGGTCTGTGCGGGTGGCTGACCCGGGTGAGCCCGAGAATGACGTGAGATCTCATCGAACGGCACGGGGCTGACCCGTGTCGACCCGGGTGAGCTAAACGAACGCACCCACAGCAAGTCCACCCACCTATCTTGACCGTCACGTTGAAGCTGCACGTGCCGTTATTCCCAGCCGGGTCCGAGGCGGTGTATGTCACCGTGTGGGTCCCGAGACCGAACCGCTGGCCGGGCGTGTGCGACGGTACGGTCGGGCCGACGATATCGATGTTGTCCCCGGGGAGCGGTTGGTTCCAGTACACCGGTACCTCGGACTCGTTGCGGCCTAGGTACCGGGTCTGACTGGCTGGGCAGTCCGAAAACGTAGGCGAGACTTCATCTGTTACAAACAAACATCAGTTTAAAAATATATATATCCAAGGAAAGTGTTATTTTGCACACATTCTTGACGTAACAATCAGAAAGGAACCTTGAAATTTATAAGAAATAAGTTCCTTAAAAAAGGAACTATGGCTGGTTAATATGGCTGCACACAGACGCATGCGCTCTACTACGTAAAACCCGGAGGTCCCATTTGAAATGGCTTCGAACTGAGACATTTTTTTGATATTTTTGATAGTTCTCTATGATTGATTACCATTGGTATTGAACCTGACGTGTTTCAACTGCAAATTGGGGGACCAAAGAGTTGCAAGTGTGGTACCAAGCACCCGCAAAATCTCACGAGGTTTCAATGGTTCGTATCGGCCATGTTTGGAAGACTGGGGGCGAACTGGTCAAAAAGCGACAATGTACGCTGTCCAGTCCGTATAATAGAAATCAGTGGCGCGTACCCTTACCAAGAACGATAACCTGAAATACACAAAAGTTCTCGTTTCCGAACGTGTCCCGCGCGATGTAAGAGACATCAGTGATGCCGAAGTTGAACAAGTCTCCCGGCGCGTGCGAGTTGACCAGACTATACCTCCCCGTGTTGTCCGTGACGTTGGGTTCGGTCCAGTTGACTCGTATTGAGTCCATGGACTGGGCAGTCAGGCTGGCCGTGACGGGCTGGGGGCAGTTGTGGACGACCGGCGGCTCAAGGTCTGGAGGGAGTTGCGAGATGATAATAAAGAGAAGATTCAAATCAATTCATGAGGGGTGAACAACTGTTTCACGATCAGTTCCACGATCACTCGTTATTTTGAAAGATGATCACCACATTTTGGTAATGTGTGCCGGCAAGTTGTTTGTGTTCAATGAAAACAACCATTCCTCTGGGTTTTTTAAGAATTTTTTTAGTAGTGCCCAGCAGTTCTAGGAGAGCCTAGTCTAGGAGAGCCCCTAGACCATAGATATAGAATAAAAAGTTGCCCTAGACACAAGAAATGTTTCTTTTTGGGCAATCCTTCGGAGTACGTGCGACGCGCACACCAATCTCCTTATAAGGTAAGGAGTTGTAGAGGGACATTTCATATTATTCAGAGGGGTGTTTCATAAAACATGAAGTAAAATTGTTGAACAAAATGGTTGGCAACGTCTAGTTATTGACTTTTTTATTTTTGGAACGAAAGTATTTGTTACGACAGCTTTTTATCCAACCTTTAACGGAGACTGTGAAGTTGCAGAATTCCACGTTGCCCGATTTGTCCCGAGCCACGAACGAGACCAGCGTGTCCCCTACGGGAAAAGCCACGCCGGACTGGTAGTTCCCCGCAGGCGCCGAAACGACGCGGGAGTTGTCAAGGGCAACGATGGGTTCCCACGTGACCACGGCCGTAGCAACGCCCGTGTCCGTGCGCACCTCGATGTCGTCATCAGGACACGAAATAAAAGTTGGGTTTTCCTCATCTGAATATTGAAAAAAACCAATGTGAGTATAAATTAAAACTTCTTCTGAAATCAAGGCATTACTGAGGATGACGAACTTTCTCAATACATTTACAGGAGTTGCCCCTAGAGGGCGCCCTTACCAATTACGGTGACCGTGAATCTGCAAATGTCAACCTCGTTCCCATCAGTGTCAGAAGTGTACACGACCGTTGTTTCTCCGATGGGAAATTCGTCCCCTGGTGAGTGCGTCTTGTTGTACTCGGTTATCCCAATGGCCGTCTGCAAGGTTGAAAGAAAGGTCAATGTGAAAGGAGGCCCTCTGTTGGTGCGAGTTTGTTAGTTGCGTATGCCTTGATTTCTTTTGCAATTCGTTGTGTGTAATGAGGTAATTTCTTTTAAGAATTCATTAGTGCTCCTGTATTGTCCAGTTTCTCATCGCCCTATTTTGCTCTCAAGGCTTTTGTACAGTTAGGAAAATGCATGTTCCATCGTTTACGTACAATAAGTAAATAGCGCCCTGTACCACCATGCTACAAACACAAACGCCCTCTACAGGTGAGTAACTAAATGATGAACTTGTGCCGCCACCTTGCTAACTCCTTATGACTCGTACAGAGTGTCGGAATACTTTTGGTTGATTCGAAGGCGATTATAATTACAAAAATGCAGCACAACGCCTTGAGGGAAGACTAAGGTGCACATTGAAAAACTGTTAATCATGATTACACCGGTTAAGCACGTACGTGCAGTGTAGGCTCCAGCCAAGTCACTCTTGCCACCGCCTCACCCGGCTCCGTGGCTTGCACGATGTCACTCGGGCAGTCCATGCTCGCCAAACTGACCTCTGTTAAATTTAAAGAAGACAGCTGAAATGGGCCGTATTCACGAGTGAGTCGGTCATATGGAATTGAAAGTGCGGTAAATTAATCTTCATTTTTGGAACTTGCGAAGAAAATTGCACGCAAGTAAATTACTCATTAATTCAAGTCTGCTCGATCCAATGAATAATTTAATATTGGTAATTAAGCATTCACTAATATTTTAAGCAAGATTAACAAAAATGAGAGTAAAATAAGGCTGCATAGATAGTAAGGCACCTTTTCATTGAACAGTTAACAATTTATGAAATGCATGCAGGGAACTCGACAAAAATGGCCAACTCGTGCATAAGGCCCATTAATGATGCCAGTTAACAACACAGTGATGAAATACGAGTTTTTTCTTTAACCAAATACAAAAAAAAAACAAGGATATGAAGATAGCGCCCTCTTGTCAACGATGGTGGCGCCCTTCACAAAACCCGTTAACAATATTTTGTCACAGGCGAGGTCAAGGAAACCAGGTCGTGCACATTAATAGTACTACAGTCTACAATCCTTTAGCAGGGAAACGAGTATTTATTACCAACACGAAAATAATTGTGAAAAATACGTGCAGGAGTGCACATTGCTTTGATCTAGTATTTTGTGGTACGGTGGCCCTGTTATACAATCGTTGATACTAAAAATAAAATTCATTATTGCAATAAGGAGTTGATTCTTTATGAGAAGCCAGGCAGGAGTACGATGTCCGGAGTATGACATTAAACTACTGTGCCGCCCATAACATGGAAAAATTGGGGGACTGTTAAGACGTTGGTGGCAGCAAACAAATCGGTCCTTTTTCCATTGTTTGCATCATATTGAGCATCCGTGCTTTAGATTTAAAGTGACGTAACAATTAAAAGGGACCGGTATGTTTGCCGCCACCAATGTCTCAAAAGTCTCTCATTGTGACCTTTGACTGCTTCCTATGGACGAGAGAGGGCGCTACATCGTGACACCTTACCGTAGAAATCGATCCGTAGATGGGTGGGCGGATTGTTGGCCACGGCCTTCCGGCAGCCGAACTGGCCGGAGTCAGTTGCTAGGACGGGGTTGAGTGTCATGATCGCCACGCGGTTAGCATCGCCTCGAATGTCACGAACCCGTACTCGGGAATTGTCCACCTAAAATACCCAAATATCGCAAAAACCTTTTTTTTGTGTGTTAATGCTGATGAGGGACTTGAGTCGAGTCATATCTGCTCTCACTGATCGAAGGGCGGATCAAAAACACAATTTTTTCGGTGGGGGGGTCCCCGAAAAAGTTGGTCAACAATTTTACGGCGTGGGGTTCAGGGCCCGCCGGGGCCTCGAAAATTGTTTGGATTTTAAATGTTCTTAGCAGCTGCGTGAAATTGGGCCCTGATATTGTGACTCGGACTCGAGTCGGACTCAACAATTTTACGGCGTGGGGTTCAGGGCCCGCCGGGGCTTCGAAAATTGTTTCTTACCTGAATGTGTGGGGCCTCCAGCTCCGGTGTCTTCTGGGCGATCGTGCAGTGGATCTCTACCGAGTCTGTGGTTGGTGTGACGTAGATGGACAGAGAACCTGCTGATGTGACGCGCTGGACAGCGCCCCCACTGACGCTGATCTGTTGATTGACTTCCCCTATAGCGAATGGAGATTTTATCTGCAATTGTCGTTTTTCACTTCTTTTAAAGGGTGATCCTATCTCGAGCAGAGTAATGCAAATCGCCAACATTTTCGAAAAACCCAACCAACATTACCTCCACCAAACGATCGTCAATCGTCGACCCTATTGTCCTCTATTGTTTAATGCCCCCTATTGAATACAAAAACCAACTCAACCCAACCCATCCCAACCAAAACCCAACTCAACCCAACCCAACCCAACCCAACCCAACTCAAACCCAGCTCAACTCAACCCAACCAACCCAACCCAAACCAACCCAACCCAACCCAACCCAACCCAACCCAACCCAACTCAAACCCAGCTCAACTCAACCCAACCCAACCCAACCCAACCCAACACAACACAACCCAACCCAACCCAACCCAACCCAACCTAACCCAACCCAACCCAACCCAACCCAACCCAACCCAACCCCAACCCAACCCAACCCAACCCATCCCAACCTAACCCAACCCAACCCAACCCAACCCAACCCAACACAACCCAACCCAACCCAACCCAACCCAACCTAACCCAACCCAACCCAACCCAACCCAACCCCAACCCAACCCAACCCAACCCATCCCAACCCAACCCAACCCAACCCAACTCAAACCCAGCTCAACTCAACCCAACCCAACCCAACCCAACACAACACAACCCAACCCAACCCAACACAACCCATCCCAACCCAACCCAACCCAACCCAACCCAACTCAAACCCAGCTCAACTCAACCAACCAACCAAACCCAACCCAACCCAACCAAACCCAACCAAACCAAATCCAACCAAACCAAATCTAACCCAACCCAACCCAACCCAAAATCAACCCAATTCAACCCATCCCAGCAACCCAACCGAACCGAACCCAACCCAACCCAACCCAACCCTAACCAAACCAAACCCAAATCTTAACCCAACCAAACCCCAACTTAACCCAACCCAACCCAACCCCAATCTTAACCCAACCCAACCCGACCCAACCCAGTCTAGCCCAACCCAACCCCAATCTTAAAACCCAACCCAACCCAAACCACACCCCAACAAACTATACACCAAATTATACCAGATTTAATCAAACTAATTTTCACGTTAATAAAGAATTAGATAAAATACAAATGAGGAAATAAAAACAAAAGTAGTAAAGCCCTTTACAAAACTTAAAACAAAAACCGTTGGAAACAATAAGGGATCGGGAAAATAAGCCAACAAATCAAAACTTACGACAAGTTGGCGACTGGCCACCCCACTTTCCATCAGCCCTACACACCCGGCCATTCAAGTTCCCTGTAAGACGCATACCCCCGGGGTCGCTACACTGAGCCGTGATACGGGAGTCCACGGGATAGGCAATCACACTGTGCGTGCTGATGTCGACTCCGTTGATAAACTGCACGAGTCCGTCCTGTGGCGGCGGGGGCGGGCACCCCGTAACCGGGTCGCTTTGGCTGTAAACTGTTTAAAAGAAATATGGTAATTTTATCTTTTCCGAAATTAGGTTGGTCAAATTTGTTTGGGTAAGGTACCTCTTGCACCAACAATAACCAAAGTTACAATCATTTTGGCCATCTAAGTATGCTATTTCTATGGTTGACCACATAACAACATTTGCTTTATACCATTTTGTGACTATCGGACAAAGTAGTGAACGCATACATGATTATTATGACATTTTTTCCTGATTTACACTTTTTAAATGAAAGAAAATGGGTTTTGTCTCTTGTCTTTATAATTAGACTCGTTTTGCCATGCATCAGTTTACAAAAGAAAACTACCAAACAAGACACATTTTTCCGCGGATCATCTAAAAATAGCACCCATTGACGTCAAACACAGGACAAGCTCTCTCTTTTGGCGCGTAAACAGGACGAGACATTTTTCCGCCATATTTTTTTCTCGATTAGGCACTTTTGGCAAAGTGCAGGTGGCGGTAGCTCACGCAATGTGGTCATAACGGAAGGAAGGCTGGAAACAATAAGTGTCATTCGAAGTCTGGAAAGCTTCCCAAAATAACAACCTCATCAAACTCGTTTTGTCAGTCAATTATTGTTCGTAAATATCTAAGACAGTTAATCGATTCATATTGGTCGAGAGTGAGTATTTCACAGTTTTAAGTTCGCAGTACACCAGCACAGCTGCGTTCTGCGGCACTCGCGCAGTACGCGCGCGCGACGCGCTCGCCAATCTCCATATAAAGTAGTTGTTTACGACTTTTTCGCGAGATGGATGTACCATAATATAGCCAGAAGGGTGTTTCATAAAACATGAAATAGGCCTAAACTTTTGGAACAAAATCGTTGCAACGTTATAATTTTTCACTTGTTTTTGATTTTTGGACCGAAAAGTTTTGATTTTTTGACCGAAAAGGTATTTATGATTCGGAATAAATGCTTGGCCGGTATTAAACACCATGTTTAAGACTGAGTGGAGTCTGGACTCTGGTAATTACCCTCGCCTTCGGGTCGGATAATTAGCAGCATCGAGACTTCAACCGGTCTTAAATAAAGTGTTTAAAACTGGCCAAGCACACATATATACCCTTAAAAAAGTTTTCAATAATTGACATTTAACAAAAACAAGTCAACTTGATTCTGTTTTCAAGCATTTACAAAAAGAAAAAACCAAACCAACATGTTAACTATTTAACAGAATCATGTTTCTAAACCACAGATTTATAAGCAATAAAATTCACAATATTATGGTATTGCTTTACATGGAAATGCTCGCTTAAATGCTATTCTTATGAAACTTTTATTGTCGACAGAGCAATAAACTGAGAAATTATTTCCCTAAAATACATTGCAGATCTTTTTTTTATCTAATTTAGACAAAGCTCTGACGTCACTCCAGCCTTGACAACAGGAAGGCTGCGTCGTTTCCTAAGAGTGGTGAGTCGTAGCCTTTTTTCCAGTCTATAATTTCTCTATACCTGCGCGTAGACGCGACCTCGTGGTTTCCGCAATGGGCTATATGCGTGCAACCTTTCGAGGTCAATCAACTTGTGGTTTTAATTGACTAATGGGCTTGTTGTTTGTTTTAGGTGTTTTTTCTGGTTTGTGGTATTAACTTGGGAGTTGTTGCGGCCTTTTGTTTGTAATGTTGATCAAAACAAAACTGATTAAAAAAAAAAAGTTTCAAGGATTTTAGGTATTTTAGGGAAGTAATTTAGGGGAGTCAGGTTGGCGCATTGGTTGTTTCCTCGCCTTCCACCGCTGTGACTAGGTTTCGATTCCTGCCCTGGTCCACATGTGGATTGGGTTTTCAGTCACTACCTGATTCCATGGGTTTTCCCCCGAATATTCCTCTGGGGTTTTCCTCCAACCTCTAAAACTGTAATTTCTTCTCATTGTCTTCTCTCTATATGTTTCTTCAGGATTGCGCGATACGGTGCCTTGGGCGCTTTTGAGGAATCCTTGGTTTCAGTACCGGGGGGGGGAGAAATAATAATAATAATAATAACTATTACCCTGAATTGGACATTTGGGAGACATCCCCATAGACTTGTGCACAAAATTTTTCAAACTTAAATGTGCCCTAACCCAATAAGGGGAAATGGGTGATTAGGGAGACTAAAATTGTTTCAACTTAAAATGTGCCCTAACTCAATTTTCCCTTGTCCTTTTCCACGAATTTCGGTATTTTTACTAATTAGGCCACGAGCAACAAATATAACCTAATTGCGACGGTAAGATTTTGCCTCTAAAGGGGGTCTGTGCCATAGGGAGATAGTTATGCGTCTCTCTAAAAGCCGGTGTCTCCCTATTATCGAAAAAAATAACCATAAGGTGCCTCCCCAATGATACATTTAGTAATATAATTGTAATAATAATAAATAATTAACAATAATAAAAATACTATATGTTAATTGTACCTTTAAGAGACATTTTGTGGTCATCAATTATACCTTAGGGAGACACCGGACATTAGGGAGACATTTCGATGTCTCCCTAATGTCGCAAGCAGGCCAGATCGATTGCTCGTGGTCCAACACATAAATATAACGAACTTCGTGGGGGTATCGGACCAGGAAATATTGGGGTTAGGTGACATTAAAGATGGAAATATGTTGTGCACAAGTCTACAAAAATGTCCCCCAAATGACCCATTTCCCGTAAAGAGAATAATCATTATTATTATAATAAAGAGAAATTCCTAGTTGAAAAACAAAAAAAAGAGCTAAATTATAATGGTTTCTCTGCTAAAGGATCCTCTCGAGAAAAAAAAATTGGATTTGAAAGATGCTAAACAGGTGGATTTGAGGTAAAATTTGGATTTGATACAAACGAAAAGCGGGAAAGTGGCTAAGTTCAGTAGATTCAACAGGTCGGAGGTTCAACTCCCGTTCAAGTCAATTACTTTGATTTAACCTATATTTATGTCTCAGTTGTATTACTATCCCCAAAAGCAAGGATATAGCAAGTAAAAACGGAAGCATGCCTCAGATATCAAAATGGAGGTCGCAGTACAAATTGAACTTGAACTAAAAACATATGCTTGTCCAGGCTGGTATTCGTCTGTTTGTTAATATTAGTCATGAACATTCCCGTGGAAACTGCGCATGACCTTGAGGGCGCGATAAGAGGTCAAAGAACTTTCTCAGATGGCGGTGATGACTGATTCCAAATGGTGCTTGACATAGTCGTTGGAAAATGGATGGGTTGTTTTTAATGGATTGGCTTTCTGATGTGGAACATTGCTTAAAGGGCGCTGTAGGCCTAGCAATCGACAAGAATTGGATGTTGCGGCTGCACTTATGCTTTTATACACTACATATGAAGAGGTCTTTCACTTAAAAATAGTTTTAAATAGAAAACTTGTTAAGACCGAAACGTCAAGCCAGCTTATTCTGTTGATTTCAATACTTTTTAAATAGGTATTAACATTATTTTCAAGTGGAAAACCGGTTGGCCAGCGCTATTTTCTGGTTACTTGGTTTCTGGTGTTTTCTGAGCAAACGGCAATGTGTGGTTTTCGTTTTTTTCAACTTCCATTCACATGATGCCAGTACAGCTGTAACAGTAGAGTGGTAAAGTATTACAGCAAGATAAAATTGATAACATGAATGTTCTTGACCTAAACTTAATTTAAATGCTCTGAAATTAAGTGGACAATTGTTATCAAGCACACGTCAGGCTCGTCTAGTATGCGCTCTAATATTCATACCTGGCTTCTTACTCGAAATCGCGTATCGAGTTCTGAGCAGCGCAACAGCGATAAAGTAGTCCAATTTCAATCAATCAATGTAGCGTGAAATTAACAGGTGTTTGCTTAAAGGGTTAAAAAGAAATATTGCAATTCTGTGGTGGCCAACGATTAATAAGTCACTGAATTCCTACAGAGATAATACATCATTCAAAAACTTGATTATTTTTTTGTCAGGTGCTTTAGTTTTCGATCCATCATAGTGTCTCGTTTAGAGATCAGCAAAGAGCAAGCTCGATTTCTAAAACAAGACAAGCATAGTAAAAGCTAGTACCAGAACGCACAAAGTTCTATTCAGTTGATTCAGAATGGTTATTCACTGGAAGTATTTTATGTATGTTGTCAACACAATGGGCCAGATTTAGCCCTTTCGTTGGCGTTACGGGTGGTCCTATACGATAGCACTGCCCAGGTCACATGTGACAATCATTGAGTGAATCTGTCAGTCAGTGAGTAAGTCATTCTGCAATGGGGGAGTCAACCACTCAGTCAGTTAGACAAGTACAAAGGGGACTACATGCTGTCCCTCTAGATACATGAAAAGTGGTTTTTGATTTACAGGTAAAATAACAATAATTATAGGAACTTGTCTATGAGAACAGCATCTATTTGCTGATTAAAATTCACATGCAGGCAACAAAAGCAATTTACTATAATAAAAAAACCGATCCTTGACCACATCATAGCTTGGATCAAAGCCGCATTTTCATTTAGAAATCTTCAAATTATTCGGGAGGTTCATTAAAAGGGACTCGCTTTGTCGCGCAATGAATCAAATTGATGCGATCCGAAATGAGAGGAGTTCCTTAAATGGCGGCACTTACCAACGATGAGTAGAGAGGAGATAGCTATCATATGAAGAGTCAGTTTTCCCGGCGAGCAAATTCCAACTCTGGGGCTCATCTTGGAAAGCAATTTTTAGTCCTCGTTTTAGCAGAACTCGAAAGTTGTTCCCAAAAGCCCCACCGTTCGAGCAGCACGCACAACGAGCTTTTCAAGTCACCAAAAGGTGTCGGAATTAGACGTCCTTACAATTAACTGTGTGCTGTTCTGCCAAGTGGTAATCCACAAGACTGGCAATGACTTTTTATTTGCATGCGCTGTTTCGACACTAAGTTTGACACAAACTTCTCGCACGTACACTGAAGTGTCTGGTTAACAAGTGTCCGTTTCCTCAGTAAAGTAGTGGCACTCTCAGATAGGACAAAGTCAGTGGTTCTTCTTCCGTTTGCAACAATGATCATCTGGTATTCATACGGTAAGACGAGCAGTTTTTAGTCGCAGGAAACGGCAAGCGGACGTCCTCTGTAGACCGCTAGAGTGTCTAGGCCAACATGTTTATGTCATCATTTGATAGTCATTGGTTTGCTCTAGTAACACTCGTGTTTCGCGGACAACTCGGGTCAGGTGTCAACACGTGCCATGCCGTGCTGGCCTTTCTTTCCGGATTTTGGGGTTTTCTGGGCTCATGTTCCGTTTAGTTCCTAAAACTTCTGTAACATAACAACCGCAACCCGGAGCGCAGAAAAACATTCACTTGATTCCGAGTGGTAATTCACTGGGAGTCTTGTCATGCATTTGGCCAGATTTAGCCCATTCATTTGCGTTACGGAGTAAATCCTATACAATAGCACTGCCCGACTCAGGAGTGACAGTTAGTAACCCAGTCATTGAAAAAAAGGCACACAGATCACACAAGATCGGCCGCTTATACACATAAAGCAACCATATTATAGCCTATACGAAATAAAGGTTTTCGTATCTTGGTTGGAAAATGACTACATGCGTTTTATTTTGATTGTGGATTCATTAAATGACGTCACTTATGTACGGTGCGTCAACCAATGAAGTTGTTCCTTAACCCCATTACCGGACACTATAAATACCTTTTTCAGAAAACATTGCTAAAGTATAAATCTGAACTATGGCGAACAGGAATATATCAAACAAAATCAGTACAAAGTATGGGTACACAATGTCTGAGCACACGACAAACGGATGTAATAGTTTATAATGATATTTTTGTTGAGTCGCTTTCTGTAAGTGGTTTGAATTGGAAAAATGTTCGATATGCGATGTTCATGTCTAGAATCAAAACAACGATCTGCAGCTGTCACACTGTATATGTAAGACAGGAATTTCAAGAACAAATATGGAAGAAAATCGTGGCAAAATGTTCATGGACTCGAGTTAACTTCAGCGCAAGAGAGCTGTTTAAATAAGGGCACTCTATTGGCGGCAGTTTGAAAGGAGCTTCAAAATTATTCGTCGTTATGAAAAAGCGCTGTAGGAAATCACCTTTATTAAAATAGATCAGTGATTAATGTGCCCGCAAATAGGTAGACATTTCAAATAAAGCACTTTCAGAATTGTCTCTCGTCGATATGCTATGGGTGAGAATGATAAATGATGACGTAATCTCTCTGAACTAAACAATATAATTCTCATCCAGAGATCGAGTGAAACTGGCTATAGGGCCTTTCGACCAAACGTTTTAATATTAAGCCGTGCGCGTTAAAAACAAAAAGCTGTTTTTATGCAATGGTTTGAATTGGTGACGTAAATACTGTGTCAATAATGGTTGGCACGCAGAAGCATCAGCCATTATTGCGACGACTCACTAATGACGTCATCGCTCTGGATAGACTCATAACAAGCCGTCAAAGCAAGACTATACGTCTTTGCAATATCGGCCCAAGCCGATAACCACTAAGACAGATAAAGGTATTTTTTTCGAGTGGGTTTTCTTAAAGCTGAGTCAATTTTACTCAACTTTGACGGACGCATTTAAAACTTAATGTTCTTTTCAAAAATATATACAGTTTTACTTAATAAAAACAATGGCTTGAGTTTCACAATATATTCAAGACAATACTTTAGATAACAGGTTGAATTGTTTTTTTTTAATACCCTTTTAGTCTTGTCAAAATGAAACACATTTCCTGCAAATTTAAACAAAGCAAACACGGGAAAAACCAGAAGTGGTGGTCTTAATGCCTTTCCAAGAAAATACGTCCAAAATGCTTCCGTAAATCGAGTGCGTAAACATTGTTAGGCAAATACAAATACTGGAGGAACAACAACATCATGTTGGAAAGCCAGAATCGAGGATAATCATTTAAATTATTGTTCGTGTTTCTATTTCTTTCTTTTGACTCATCAATGATTCCAAAAAAACGTGATTGCACGTCCTATTCAACTCAAAATATTTGACGGAGTCCCCTAATGGACACACCGCTCAGGAATGCTCAGGCGCTAGAGGGCTCCATATTATGCCATTATATAATGTAACTTGTAGTCGAAGAAACAACTTAAAACTCAAGTGCGTGCCATGGTCTAGGATCACCTTATATATAGCCTGGTGCATTATTATTCACGGTATCCCGACGTCGAGTTTTTTTAATTAAAAATTGAAAAATTTGTTTCCACATATTAAAAAATACTTGAAATAATTTTTATCCAAAGGAACACAACAAAAATATCTCATTCTTCTATGAAACATTCATATTAACTATGTTTAGTTCCATGCGTGGAGATACGAAGCAAAACACTGTCAATATTAACAGACTTTAATCATGCATTTGATAAATTCTTAATTGGGCTTTTAACCTTTGCTACCGAAGATAACACCATCTGCACGTTCCCACGAATTCAAGTGACCACAAACCTTTCAAGAGATTCCGGTGTACTTTGCACGAACCCTCAAAACGATATCAATAATAGGTCTCGTCCAGAGTTACCGATTAACACTATAACCTTATACACAGAAGCGTTAGAATACTCGCCCCTTTTAAAAATTATCATTTTTGATACTGCAGGCATATTCTTTGCAAGTGACTTGTCTTTGTTTCTTTGCAACACTTTGATATGACTTGTCCGGAAACTGGACTTTAAAAAGTAATACTTTGGAACAACATAGGAACTTGCTTGTCCGGAATCTGGGCAGTATTTACCAAAAGCACCGGTTCCGTTCTCCACGACAAAACCTGTTGGAATAGCAACTAATGATAAATAACACTTTGATAAATACTAACATTTAATTATACTTATGTTAGAATCTTCAACTTTTCTTTGTGTCTGTCATATTCCAAATAGGCTAACACTGACAAAGTGATTTATTTTGGAATTGTGATAACTAAACGAAAGGGGAAATTATTTCTTAGTTTTTCTTTAAAATGTATGTCAGAATAAAATACAGGTCTTTTTATAGGTTATATAGGTTACTTTACAAATAAAATAGGCTTCCAAGTTGAAATATAGTCTATGTAATAGACCCTGGCCCTGGCGAAGCGCCGACCATTAAACGTAAACAGATTCTGCGATTAATTATGCAACCAGACTGGAAGGGACCTCGAGAAACTGACCAATCAGCAGGCGCCTTCTTTACGCGCGTAATTCGAGCTCCCCGCGTGCGTAAACATCACGCCCACGATGAGTAGCATTTTTGTACAGGCTGTTGTACTACAAAAACGCAGCATCGAAATTGACCAATCACAATCTTAGCCCTGATTTCGGAATGAAATGACGTCACGCATGCTTAGATATATCAGACGTTAGACAGGAGACTGGGCTCCGTGGATATCGGGTGCTACTCAGACTAGTTGAGATATAGGTTTGTATAGGTTTGTAGGGTTTCGCTGTGCATGTGATGCCTGGGGATTACAGCAGCTGCTAAGAGTTTGACCCATTTGCGGTGGATCGTGTCAGGGATTTTGTTGCAGACGAAAGGAGGGCCTGCGACTGCAAGCTGGCTCGAATAAGGAGTTAATTCTTGGGCGAGGGACGTCCAAGGAGACGGTGGAGACTAGCGGAGACGGCCCGACAGTCCCTGGCGGGACTCGAGAAAACTTCCGCCGCACCGTCTTGACCAGATACGCTCGCAGCGTCCGATGGTGAAACATGTACAGGAACGGGTTGAAAGCCGCGTTGGTGTAGAAGATGATCTTGTACACGATGGTGAGTTGGAACTCGTACTCCGGCATGTGCCTCATCACCGCCAGGATGACAATGGTAGACGTCCACGACAGGAGAAAGTAGGTCGTGATGACGGAGAGTACGGCGGCGATGCGGACGTTCTGCTTGATCAGGCTGGGCTGGGGCAGGGCGGGGTCCACGCAGCTGACGCGCCGCACGTCGTGGATGGCGCGCGCGTGGCGACGCGCGATGACGAAGATGTGGGCGTACATGACGAACATTGCCGGGATGGGGATGAAGAAGTTGCACATCAGGAAATAGCCGTAGGGCAGACCGATCAAGGTGTCGATGTTGCACGTGACGGAGCTGTTGCTGATTCCCATAGGAGGCTCCACGGTCATTTCATCCGGGATCAATATGAGCAAGCTCACGCCAATGGAGTACAGCCACAGGAACGCGATGGCCCCGAGCGCGCGATGCGTCGTGACCAGCGTGACATAACGCAGCGGCTTGCTGATCACCAGGTAGCGGTCAAAGGTCACGCAGACCAGACTCAGCACGGAGGCCATGGCCGCCATGACGGCCAGGACGTTGATGCAGACGCAGAGGGCGCCCTCTGTCGACACCTCCACCGCGCTGTGGTAGCTCTGCAGTGGCATAATCAACAAGGCCGTCAGCAGATCCACACTCGCCAAGCTCAGCACGAAATAGTTCAGATTTTCTCGCAGTTCTTGTTTTGCGATTACCAGGTAGACGAGGAGCACATTACCGATGATGGCGATCACTCCTATCAGTACCAGAAACCCCACGGCCACCCAGCTCCCTGCGGAATCGTTAACATCCATTTCTTCGCGCCAAAAAGCTCTCACTGCATAAAGTGCAGCCACTACTTTTCAACGAGCAGATCGTGATTTATCCATCACAGTTCTAAATCGTTCTGCGATTTCAGCGAGGCTGCATATATATCATTCGAGAGTCTGCTTTTGCCCTGAGAAAATGATCAATTAAGTTTGACGTTGAGCCAGTCAGCCTTGCTTACAGTTTGATTCTATGTAAACGGCGTTCCATATTGAGAGATACGAACTTTTCTTCAAACCCTTCAAATTCTGCACACGAGGCGTTCCATAGTTGGACGACGAATAACGTATTTTAACTGAGTACGTAGAAGTTTGTACAGACTCAAGATCAACGTGTTCATAAATTCCACAATAATGCTGATTTAAACGGGCTATCCAAATACATAGTATTCATTTACATGATTGTATTGATTCTTATCTCTCTGATTCTGACCAAGTTAGAAATTTCAACAGCAAGAGCCGAAATTCTACACGTGTGCTACGCTATGTGCAATCAACGATAGCCAGGCGCTCTCAATATCATCACTGCAAATGCTTCAAGACGATAGTCAAAAATTAACCAAGCCAATATCAACAAAGTCAAATTGTCCTAAGCGAAGGGGCGAGTTTCCAATCTTCGTCCTCTGCTTTTACCGTGGCTTTGTAAATGTCCTGGGCATTAAACAAGAGAGCCCCAATATATCAAAAATAATCCTGACAAGTTTTGGCTCTTGAAGTGTCCCACTCTAAAAAGACACGAAGACTTGTGACCGATTTTCCGCGAGCGTTGGAGCACTGGGAAAGTTACGCTCCGCGCAACCGGCTAGAGCGTCGTCACAGCCCCGTGCAAACCTGCTCCGTGCTCGGTGGTGATTAAATTCGCCGTAACTTGGTGCCGGCAGAAAAAAATCATTTGCCCAGGTTGTTTTGAATGTAGTCTTCGCACCAGGTCTTTATAACTGTCTCGAAACGCGGTCGGCTTTGTTTAATTATTTTTTTCTGTTGAGGGCAGCAGTTTTTGGTATGGAGGAGTGATGTTTCGCCTGGAGAGGAGACTAGGTGACAAGGGTTTCATCAAACAAAAGTGAGAACCAATCCCGTCCACAGAAGACTCCAGCTGGTGTCCAATGGTTTTCAAATCACACTTTCTCTCGTTACATAATTTCCTATTCAAAAGTTAGATTCGCATCGCGTCTTGATTGCCAGAGGTCACAGCGCATGCCCTGTCCAAGCCATGCCAAAGGTCACAGCGCATGCCCTGTTCAAGCCATGAACCTCCACATCCAATACAACCAATGACGACTCGAAGAGATCTGCCCACATCTGCAGAATGAATTTGCGCTTCGAGGCGGGGAAGGAAAGAATTATCCTGAAGATATTTCTTGAATGACAAGTGTGTAGGCGAGGTTGAAAGAGCGTGGGTGAGCTTTTGCTGACCTAAAGTAAAAAAAAAAAAAAAACACAGAAGGAATAATTAATAGAGTTAGAAGCTACAGTCCATCATTTGCAGCTATCCAAAAAGTAACTGACGTTATTATTGTTGAAAAACATATTTGAATGAAAGATGGTAAGGGGACTAAACTCCCTGTGAAATTATTCTTTCTGGCAAGCTGTCATTTTGAAGAAATCAACAAAAGAAGGCCTTTCCAACGATGCGTCTAAAGACGAAGCGGTGGAAGTGTCCGTCAGTAGTTCAGGCCCAATTCAAAACATAAACTCAGCAACTTCTGATTTGAAATCCAGATCCTAGAATGTTGTTTTTCTCATTATATACAGCTATAGCTGAGCTTCATTAGTTGTTCAGCACCCTTCTTTAGATTTTGAGCAATTTTGTTGCGTTAAACGAAAAAAATGCACAAATTACAAATGATGGACTGTACCTTTAATTCAAATGAGAGTTTAGATCTTTTTGCCCGATATTTCCCATTTTATCAGCTTCCGAAACCAGCTGAGTAAACAAACACAAACAATTGATATGGCGTCAAGTAGAAAAACGAATGGAACACCATTCTCAATTGATTTAATTATTAATGACGCAAGGTTTTTAAGCTCTGGTATTCTACATGTCACTTCGTGGGTGGGTGGGCGGTCGGTCGGTCGGTCGGTCGGTCGGTCGGTCGGTCCCCGAAAAATTGACCAAAAATATTTTACCAAAATTGAGCAAATGCCATGCCGTCAATAGATAATGTCAACGGTTGTTACTAACTAAATAACGGACTAACGGGGAGACATGGTGATTTGCTGAGCTACTATCCTGCCGCAAAAAAAACTAATTCGCTGTAATTTAGAATTTATCGTGGCACATCAAACAGAAGCTAGCATTGAAACCTTTGAAATGAATTCTACAGCTGCGTGGCTTTTAAACCCATTAGCGTTTTAATGTTGTGTGTTTTAGACCAGGATGACAGAAAACTGTCTCGTCCCTGAATGGAGCACGTCAATATATCTCGCAAATGGGGCCATTTAATGCTGTTTTGACGCACATTTCTCTGAATGACTGAATACCTTTTTTTATTTAAGTACTGCTACGTGGGACCATTTCGGCAATTTGTAGTGTAAATTTCTATGGCACTTTTATTTCATATTTACAGTAGCTGTTCTGTTCAAACTTAACCAAAAATAGCTCTATCACTGTAAAAAAAAAAAAAAAAAAAGGTGTCAATCGAGGATTTTCTTTTGTTTCTCTTCCCTTTTCCTTTGTTTGTACTCTAACCTTTTCGCAACAGCTCTCATTGGTTTTGTATACGTTTTTTCATCGAGGTCGTCCCCGATTTGGTGCCTGTCCTCGATTCACCGATGATGTTCCACGTGGGTGTCCTCGATTTACACCATAAACAAACGCACCTACACCCCTATTTGCCTGCATTCGGAGACCCCCTCTTGTCCCTCTTTTGTTTGTACTAACTTTTTAGGAATCAAAGTTTTTACACGAATCCAAATTGGGGACCTCTCTGGAATCGGGAACCCTATTGTTCTCTATTGTTCAACGTCCCCTATTGAGTGCAGAAACAAACTCACCCACACATCTCATTTTTACTATACCCATGAAGACCTGATCCTTTCCTTCTTTTGTTTCCTTTTGATTGTACCTTAACTTTTTCTCGACAGCTCCATTAAGGTTTGTACACGAATTCTCCCGAGGACCTGGGCCCAGGTCCTCGGACCCATTGAAATCGCACACACCCCATTGTCCCAAGTCCTCAGTCTGAATGGATAACCAACCCACACTAACGTAATACCGTATTTTTAGCTGCGGGATAGCAGCTCAACAAATCGTCATATCTCTCAGTCAGTCAGTCAGTCAGTCAGTCAGTCAGTCAGTCAGTCAGTCAGTCAGTCAGTCAGTCAGTCAGTCAGTCAGTCAGTCAGTCAGTCAGTCAGTCAGTCAGTCAGTCAGTCAGTCAGTCAGTCAGTCAGTCAGTCAGTCAGTCAGTCAGTCAGTCAGTCAGTCAGTCAGTCAGTCAGTCAGTCAGTCAGTCAGTCAGTCAGTCAGTCAGTCAGTCAGTCAGTCAGTCAGTCAGTCAGTCAGTCAGTCAGTCAGTCAGTCAGTCAGTCAGTCAGTCAGTCAGTCAGTCAGTCAGTCAGTCAGTCAGTCAGTCAGTCAGTCAGTCAGTCAGTCAGTCAGTCAGTCAGTCAGTCAGTCAGTCAGTCAGTCAGTCAGTCAGTCAGTCAGTCAGTCAGTCAGTCAGTCAGTCAGTCAGTCAGTCAGTCAGTCAGTCAGTCAGTCAGTCAGTCAGTCAGTCAGTCAGTCAGTCAGTCAGTCACAAACGTTGACATTGTCGATTGCTCCTACATATTTTGACCGATTTCAACCAAACTTTGACAAAAGTATCAGTAGCCCAGCCCAACATGTCACATGACCAAACTGGGGTCAAATTTTATCATAAGGTCACTGGGGTCAAAAACCTTGGGGTTTTTTTTCTTCAAAACACTACTCCTTCCAGAAATTACATGGCACAATCACGCGACTCATGCATGAACACGAATTCGTTGGCCCGCAGCTTCCGAGCTCCCATCGAGCTTGGGTTTTTTTCCATTTTGAAAATTGGACATTGAGTTCTCTCAGTGTCGGCAGCAAACTGCAGTCCATATAAATCACCCCAGTACGGCATGTTCTATTTTCACATTTTCGCATCTCCAGAAAAAAACTACATTTATTTGCCAATTGCCAGGAAAATATTCACGAGAGTGGGTGGCCTTCAGAGGAGAGCGCCCGAGAAGTAAATAATTCCAAATTCCCCAAAAAAGATGTTACCAAAAACAGATGTTCATATTTTTTTTTTGGCCTATCCGAAAACGACAGGTGTTGCATAAAATTATCTTTTATAAAGCCGCTACTGCGCGACATTTTTGCGTAGATTAGTAGAACCTTCCTTATCTCGACCCGTTTGTTCAAACGATTCAGGCTATTTGGATTTTAATTTGTTCGTATTTTGCAATAACTCTCGTCGTTTTTTTTTTCCTATTTCGTATTTAATCCAAGGCGTGTAGGAGAAAAAAATACTATGGCTTACACTCTTTGTTAATCACAATAAAATAAATTCAGAATGTGCTTTTGCAAATTTTGGGTTAAAAAAAATGGTAATGCATTGGTGATTACAAAAATAACTGAACTTAATCTGTTACAAAAATTCAAGGCACGATAAAAGTAACATTATATCCCCTTAACATAGTTCAACGTATTTCCAAATTGAATGACGGTTTTAGACTTAATGAATTATATTACGTCAAATTCGTAAAATTTCAATTTAATTTTTTAGTGTTTCTTTTAATCTTCAATTCATTACAAAAACTCGATGTGAAATGTCGATTGTCTTGATATTAAAACATATCGAGCATCGATATTATCATTTTTTTTTAAACTAAGTATCATATGTCTTGAGGCGTAAGTGCTTGTTCTAAGATTCGACGAAATGGATGCCACTCTATAAGCACACGCGCCTCACGTGTTCCATCCTATCAATATATCATAGAAATTAACGTTTGCTCAGCTTCACTGAATGGTTAAAATGATGAGATATTCTGTCCCATGCGCGCCGGCCGACGTCACGCAGCAGGCACGACTATCTCCTTTTGACTCGACAGAACCGACCAAAAAAATCAACAGAATTTCGAGAAACAAACATGGTCCCGCTTGCAAACGAGCAATCTATCATTTAAAATGCGATGTCCGTGACGTTGTAATGAGAAAAATACGTGGGTTTTTGGACGCTTTGTTGTTCATTCTCGGGAGTTTTATATATAGAAAGCAATTGGCTTTTCGCCAACGGAGAAACAGAGATATATAAGATGGCGATTTCAAACTACTGAGTGTCATGGCCAAGCGGTTGAGAACACCGGACTCATGCTCTGGTGTTTCAGAGGCAACAGTGGCGTGGGTTCGAGCCCGGGCCCGGACACTTGTGCCCTTGAGCAAGGCACTTAACCATTATTGCTTCGTCCATGGGACTTAAAGCCGGAGGTCCCGTGTGTTGTGTAATGCAATGCACGTAAAAGAACCCAGCAAATATGGCTAAGAGAAGGGGTTTGCCCCGGTGTTTCTGGCAGTGGCTGCAATATGCGCCGCAGCACCTTGTAACCCTTAAAGGTGCTACATAATGGGTCTCATATTTCTCATATTGAGGGCCTCCATGGAAAGCAGTGCCCTGCACTGATCGGAGCTACCCTCACTAAAGATGACGTAAACAAAATAAAAAATAAAATAAAAATAAATAAAATACTGGGCAAGTTTACAATGATGTAATTTTTTGAACCGTGAGAGTGCCGAACTACAGGGTGAGTAAAAAAAACACCGAAACCCAAATGTCGGGACTACTGTTTTAGTGAAGTTCTGCATGTAGCATTTTCAAAATCTAGGATATGAAAGCCCAATTCATAAGTTTTCTTTTAGTACAAGAATCATTCACATCACTTATGTACTTTTCAAGTTACGGAATTTTAAACACAACCACCGTTCTAAAGTTCTGTCCACGGATCACGAAAAGGGTGTGCAAAAACAATCCCTATGTGATTTATTTCGTTTTGCTGAAAGAACAGTAACCTTTTTATGATCCGTGGACAGAACTTTGAAACGGTGGTTGTGTTTACAATTCCGTAACTTGAAGAGTACATAAGTGGTTTGAATGATTCTTGTACTAAAAGAAAGCTTACGAATTTGGCTTTAATATCCTAGATTTGAAAGTGCTAAATGCAGAAGTTTACTTAAACACTGGTCCCGACATTTGGGTTTCGTTGTTTTTTTACTCACCCTGTACAGTATGCCCCCCCCCCCCAAAAAAAAAAAAACTGTCCGTCTGACTATTTTTAAAATAACTACAAAACCATGAGGTCAATTTTGAAAATTTTTGGTTCTGCAGATACTCCTAAGCCTTGGCCTCAACCCCTATGAGTTTCATTTGATTTTAAGTCACGCATCACTTTATTGTCACACTACACAATTGTAAGTAAAAAATGACCCCCACCTTGCTTCAGAAAATAGGCTCTAGAATAAAACTACTGGACCGAATCGGGCGAATCTTGGATTCATTTTTCTTCTAAAAGATTTTCCATGCATTGGTATATGTGGTTTGAGTCTCAGGGTAGTGGAAGTATGCCATTCCGGATTGTTTAGACCACCCTGTGTAAGCACAATACCTTTTATTACATTAATAGTGTTCCAACACTGTACTCAAATCGTGATCAACCTTAATTGAAATCGGAAGTAACTGTAACGAGAAAACCTTCAGGTAAATACACTCTACGATCAAAGCGCTCAGATTTTTTTTTTACCAAAACTAGGATTGTTTCTTAACTAATTTCAGAATTAAACAAAAGTTAATACTCACCATTAAAACTGTTCCTCGCAAATCCAAAACCAGTAACCGTCTTGGCCTCGGGGTGCTACGCCGAAAAAATAAACCCCTCACAATATATCCTGTTTTTTTTGCTAACACAGAATCGAAAAATTTACAAATAAACTGCAGTTGTTTCAACGTGTGTGGTCCGTACCGTGCTCGAGACTTCTCAACTCTGGGGCCCGTGCAGCAAAACGACCGGTAATATTTTCATCGCTCGACCGCTATCGCCCGTACAAAGTCCACAAGTGCGGTATATTTTGGGTCTTGTAAAAGATAACGAAAAATATTGAGCGATTAATCAGTTTCTAGTGCTTCTTTTTATGAAATAATTTGAAATTGTATGCGTAATTTCCGTCAATTTATATATTCTTAGAAGACAACGCGGAGTTTTCTTCTAAGAATAAGCTAACCACGAATGAAATGCAAAAGACATTTGTTGACAAGAGACAGTTATTTTTTCATTTAATTTCTATTTTGTCCTGTGAGTAAAATGCAGTTGTAAATGGTGAGTTTTTGCTGCCGTTGCTGTCGCTGTTGCTGCTGCTGCTGATACTGTTGCTGTTGCTGCTATTGTTGCTGTTGCTGTTGTTGCTGTTATTGCTGATGTTGCTTTTGCTACTGTGGCTACTGTTGTTGCTGTTGCTTTAGCTGTACCGTTGCTACTGCTGCTGCTACTGTTGTTGTTGTTGTTGTTGTTGTTGTTGCTGCTGCTGCTGCTACTGTTACTGTTGCTTCTATACTGTTGTTGCTGTTGCTGCTGCAGCTATTGTTGCTGGTGTTGTTGCTGCTGCTGCTGTTGCTGCTGTTGTTGCTCAGGCTGCTGCTACTACTTTTAATGCTGTTGCTGCTGTTTCTGCTGTTGTTTCATTAATACAGCTCATTCTCCCGGTCGAAAATCTTCCAAGGTTTGAGGTAAGAATTAACAAAGGGTAAATATAGTACAACAAACTCATGGGGTTCTGTAGAGGCAAGAAATCAACGATTGGGACTGGATTGATCGTAGAGGGCGCCATTGCCAAAGACTGGTGTGAACAAACTTTGCGGACACTTCTCCTCTGGCTGTAGCTGTGTAAATAATGCTGCTCACTATTAATTGGACGGCGGGTAAAGGGCATTCTATCGCACTGTCAACATAGGTGTGTGTTGACAACCACCAAAAAAAAAGGACCTTTGATCGCAAATTGTGTTCAGATTTACGTTCTTGTACTGTTCGATACAGGCAAGAAAATAGTTGCCAAGATGGCGTCAGGGTGACAGAATGTTGATCTTCTGCCAAATTTCGATGCACGCAAAGGCTTGCTTTTCCATCTTAATTCAGGAACGTACTTACTTAAAGACAGTGGAGATTTTATACGGCGTACTGTGAGTTTTCAGCAGTGTTGTTCTGATGTTTGGTGTTTGATAATTGAACTTAACGTTACTAATTAGGGCATATAATTTTATATGTACTCTTGGAGTTACGATCCCAACTACGTCACAATCACCATGGGAACCAATCAGCAGGAAACGAAGAAACAAAAGGTGAGATAGTAGTGTTTAAATTGTGTCGATAATTGTTGAGAGAAATGTGTAGATATCTAGACGGCTAGACAAATATTCTTTATTTGCCTAAGAATTTCTGACACTTGCGCTTGTCGTTTCTATAGTTTGACATTTGACCTGACCTGACGTTTGACATTTGAACTGACCTGACCTGACCTGACCTGGCCCTACCTGACCTGACCCTTTACCAATGCTTAACTGTCAGACATTAGGGCAAGTGGCATTCTCACAATCTCTGAGATTGCAGATTGTGTGTTTGTTAATATTATAATAATGTTTCCTCCAATTTGAAATGCAAATGCGAACTCACAAGTAAAACAATGGCCCAATTTCATGGCTCTGCTAAACACAGAATTCCGTACTTACGATCAACATTTTTGCTAACAGCACTAGCAGAAAAATTCTGTGCTAACCCTGTAAGCACAAAATCCTAATTATGGATGCACGCATGCCCAGAAGCCAAAATTCCTCGCTTAGGCGTGTTTATACGCTTACCGTAAGCACGAACGATTTATTATGCAACACAGTTTCAGCATAAACTTCCGACTCAATTAGCGAAAATTGGCTGCCGAAGTTTGGAATACATTAACTTGAAACATCTTGGGCTGCTCTTCTTTTTCGTTTTTTTATTGGACCAAATTTGTTCGACAGGTCAAGCTTCCGTCCAAGTACGAGCCAGTGGTCTTCACGCCGTCAGACGAGGAGGACCGTGAGGCCATGGAGCTGGCGTACGCGCTCAGTCTGCCGCGCAGCCGGGTCGAGTCGAATGACAGCGTGGATCTGCGCAACACCACGCACTCCCTCAAGCGGCAGCTACGAATCATGTGGTGCAAGAAGGCCCTGGTCGGCCTGGTGGTGGCGCTGTTGATGGCGGCCGGTGTCACCGTCGCTCTGATTTTAGGTAACTTAAACCCCTAATCCCTAGAGAATGTGAAAATACTAGTTTGAGGATTTGGGACTGTCAAGGACTTTTTTTTTTTACAGTTTGTGAAGTCTATCCTCAGATAATGGTTTACATTTTTTTTCCTCAAGAGTAGTTTTACAAACCTCCTTTTTATTTTGAATTGTGAATGAAGCAAGCGTCACTGCTTTCAAAATAAATTGAAACAAACTGTATACTGTATGAGATTGACACTGGTCTGCATTTTACGAAACTGTTTTTTCCCTCTTAGTCCTAGGAAAAGAATCGTCGCATGCACGCGGTGTAAACTCGACAGTCTCCACGACGAAAATATACAGAGGTTTGTTAAATTGATTTCCATCTCTCTATTTGAACAATTTTTCGATTTCTCTGTCATACATCTTTATAGGTGTCTTGACTTTTATTATTGTTAAATTGTGATAGAGACACCAATAGATTATGAATGTCGTGAGCATTTCATTCAATAACAAAATTGAGCAGAAACTAGCTATGAAACGGGGTTCTTTAGGAGCAGAAACCTTCACATATTTTGTCGACAATCTTGGATGATTTTTTTTCCCGCGCTTTTTGCTCTCTCCCCTACGTGCGTCCACAGAGTGCACGTCGACAGAGTTCACGTGTTGGCCTGGCGAGTGCATCCCCGATAGATGGCGCTGTGACGACCGAGTGGACTGCTCGAACGAGGCAGACGAGAGAAATTGCGGTGAGTGCAGCGTCGCAAGAGGGCGCTATTCCATTTTACTGGTCACTGCCGCCCAATGATTTTTCGAATCAAAATGCTTCATAGTCTGGACACAACATGGCTTACACAGTAAATGACGCTTGTTGGGTGCTTGTATTAGATCTGGAACTAATTGGATCCATTCTGTGTCTGAGTTCGCAATTACCGACAGTTTCTGATAAAATTGTCAACAGACCACAAAGTTGTTAGGGCGCCCTCGTACTCATTGCGCTCAATAATGGCAAATAATTTCGGCTGAATGGTAAAATGAACTGACTTTTACTCTAACCAAGAGAAAGACTTTGTTGAAGATAATAAACATCTAACAGATTTTCTTAAGAAGGCAATGAAAATAACCAACCATGTACATAACATTTTACTAAATAAAAGAGATACATGGTGCTGTAACAGAAATCTCAAAATTCGTTCAACCATGAATGTATAACACTATTAACTGTCGAGATTTAAATTCTCCAAACTTACCCCCTCTGCAGATAACATCACGGTCACTCCGCCCCGCTCCTGCCAAGCTTGGAAGGACGAATTTCAGATCAAATGCCCGCCGTCCGGTTGCCCTTTCTACCCCATCTGCACGCCGACGGGCCACTGGAACCCCGTGCAGTGTACCGTGGACAACGCCAGTTGCTGGTGTGTGGACTGGGCAACGGGCACTACCGTCCCCGGTAGTTTTGTCAAGGATGCGGAAAAAGATGGCCGGCCGTTCTGCGAGATGAAACCCGCTTAGGAGAAAATAACGGTAGAGTTACTGCAGTGTGCTGAATGCTATGGAGGCTGCCACGGATATGGGAAGCCGTTAATCTTGAATACCGCCCTCTTTTGTCTTGATTGCAAAGCTTAGTTAGCTGACGTGTGGAAAAAAGAATTTGAGCCATTAAAAATAGAGCCGTACCGTCCTAGTCTCTGTTGCATGTTTTGCTCGATGACTTGAAGCTGAAATCCAATCACTTCCGATCGAGAGGGCACACACTAGATCAGTGGCACAGCACAGGATGTAGTGCCATGAATCATGCATACCGCCCTCTGTTGTCCGGATTGCGTAGCGAATTTGATGTTTGTATATGAAAAGATGAAAGCAGAGAACAATGTGATGGTCCTGAAGAAATCTGCATCTTCAAATTAGGTTTGTCTGTAGAAGGATAATCGAAGCAGCGATGAATGAAAAGCCGTTAATCCTGTGTACTGCCCTCTTTTGTCTCGATGGTTTGGGGTGAAACCGCTTACAATTTGTTGCAGTGGTGTTTTAAAAGAAGTACAATGTACATGTATCAAGACCAGAGCCGACAAGCAAGAAGAATGTGATGCTGTTAATTTTTTATACCGCCCTCTGTAGTCTACACACAGACGGGTACAAAGTTTGGTACGTAAAACGTGACATGAAACATTCTTATGAAATGTTGTGTGTTGTAGATTAGCGAAGTGTGCTTGTCAAAATTAGATAAATGTTTTTGCTAAAACGGTACATAATTTGCAATGCTTGCTGGAAAGCACAAAAGCTTAAGCTGTACAGCATTATTTAAGGCATTACTGAGGCCATTTTGAAGTTAATTTTAGGTTCTTTTTTTTTTTAGGTAACATTAATGTATCTACTCTATCAAATTAATTTAATAATATTGTGAGCTCTTTTTCTTTCGTGTTGTGTAAATGTTTTAACTGAATGTTTCATTTCAATAAAAACAATAGATTATAATGAAAATTGTGATTGATTTTGCTCGATAGTTTTGCTATATACATCCCTTACCGCATACACTGTATTGATGAAAATCCAAAAGAAATATTAGCCATTTAAGTTTTGATATTGGGGAAAAATACCGAATTTTCTATTCATCAGTCTGAAACTTTGACCCTTCAGCAGAAAATCGAACTCTGGCGGAATTTCTCAAGGAAATATCTAAGTTAAACTCAAGTATTGACTGGGTAAATTTCATTCCAAGACTCTGGAATCTGGTCTGAAGTGGGATCGGGCTTCGAGGGGACGCCAGGTGTTAACCAGCGTGGCCACTCCTTGGGATTTTTCAAAGATCTTGGGAAATTTGGCAAGACCTTGGGAATTCGGGGTATTTAATCAAAATTCACGAAATCTTGGGATTTTCGTTTTGCATTTTGTTAACAGCGAACAACTTTTATTATTTTATCATGTATATTGGTTGCAGACTTGTATGACCCGTGACTTAGACTTGGACTCGACCCGAGTCCTATTTTCCCGGACTCGGACCTCAGACTCGGAGTCACGATGACAAATCACTCGGACTCCGTCGGCGACTCATTGCTTTGGTGACTCTAATACAAGTCTGATCTCGGGTTGGTAATACATTGCATGGTGACATCCCCATCAAAATTGGGCCTTTATGTCGCTTTTCTGATCGAAATGCTTGATTTTATCATCATCCGCACTATATTGGGATTTCTTGGGAATTCTACTGCCATCATCTTGGGATTTTCAAATTTGAAGAGTTGCCACGCTGGTGTCAACGAACGCACGGCCAGGGCTACATAATACAACGACCAGGAATCACAGACGCGCCGTCGCCGGCCAAACAACCTTTTCGCCCCGTACGCACCGCAAGAGAGTCTCGGTGGATGCATAGAGTTCGCGGAGATGGGTTCACTGTCAAACGTTGACTTCAGCTCTGCGGTTTATTATCGGCGAGCAAACACTGGTGAAAACCATGCGGTTAGATAAATCAGGGATGCCGAGTGCTAATCACGTTGCTCGGTTCAGAGATGTCAAGCAAATATGGACCAACTTTCATGTTGATTTGTAACACGACTGTTTTGGGGGTTCGATATTAAACTTTTAAATCCAATATTAAATGCAACCCGTAACACAAAAGCGTTTCTACGGTTGTCCGGTATAGCGCCCTCTTGTGACGATAATTTCACCGTCCCTGTCCAAATCAAACACACACAATATTAAAAGAAATTATATCCACAGAAATGTTCCGTTTTGTGTGGAATTAGGCATACATGCTGTGCAATCAAACTGTTGGGGAAATGATAGAAAAACATGACCGTAGTTTCGATTTACAAAATGAAAGAATTATTTTTCAGAATTCCTGCACCTTGATTTGTTCCCCTTGGTGACGCCAGCGGCGCCAGTGAGACATCAACACTCCCGAAATAAATTAATCCCCTCACGGCCCCTTCTCCCCGTGTTTGCATTTGGACTTATCGCGGTTAATCATTTACAACGCACGGTAGCGTGGTTTCACACCCAAGCAGGCGGCTCCTGCACCCGTACACGGGGGAAATCGCGCGTTCGTCCCCGCAAAGCTAAGCGACCCTTGCGCGCTCTTTTCTACCCGTGAGCCACCGCTCACCGCGCGCTTGCTGCGCGGTGGGGTTTGTTTACCGCCCAAGGGGGACCCGTTTTTTTAAGGCGGATTTTTGAGCCTACTGTTTGCCGACCTATTGTTGGCGTTTTGAAAGGAAGTTAAATAGGCGGCGGGGAACGTGTAAAGTAGTGCAATGATAGGAGTGATACTCGACAATGGGAAATTGAGAAAACATTAACTGCTTCGAAGTTCATCTTGTTTGTGTTTGTGTGTGTAGATTTTATTGTGCATGATCGATTGGAAATGCAAATGTACAGAACGAATCTAGTGCGGTGACTGTACAATTTTGATCACTTTTGATACAGATTATTGCAGCGCACATGTATGCAAACTTGGGGAAATCAAGTCCACTGAAAATGGTATTAATTTTCAGTTGACCAATCATATTCTCAGGGATTGTGAGCGTCAAAGGAAGAGAAATAGTGACTTTTTGTTGAAAAATATATATCGCATGTCCCTGCTTATTGTGTTGGTAGTATGGGGTCCGCTCATAAGTCCGACGCCTCACAAGTCCGAAATTTCGGACTTGTGAGGCATCGGACTTAATATGAGACATAACATTTATTTATTCCGCCTCATAGGTCCGACGCCTCATAGCTCCGACGCCTCATAAGTCCGAAACAACGTTTGTCCATTGTCGGACTTATGAGGCGTCGGAATGAGGCGTATTTATGCCTCATAAGTCCGACGCCTCATAATTCCGAAATTTCGGACTTACGAGGCGTCGGACTTATGATACGGCCCGGCAATAATTACAGTATACTGTAATAGTGTACGACTAGAGCACACGACATTTTATTCCACTGAATCAGAATGGTCATTCACTGGAAGTCTTTTCATACAATCTGTCTTCAAAATGGACCGGATTCTGCCAACATTGGCGATACAAGGTAATCATGTACGAATGCACTGCCCGACTTACAAGGGCAGTCTGCCAGTGAGTCAGTAAAACAGAGGTCACTAGCCGATCTGAGACCAGCGAAAAATTCTTCTTGGACTAGAACTGTTCCGGTATCATATGAAAATCCGACTCCTGTGAAAATCGGACTCCTATTCCCTTAATATGCTATGATCCTAAACATAGCATATTATCGTACTTACGCATGCGCAATACTACAAGTGAGTCCATATTTCATGGAGTCGGATATTCACGCTACGCCGGAACAAATGCCATATAAATCACAATTATTTTTTTAAACTATTAATAATGTAGTTTGTGTGTGAATTTAAGTGACTTTCAAGATTTTAAATGAGAATTCATTTGGCCATTACAAAATTGCAAGTCTAATTTGCTTGCTTCACCTCTTGCCACAGTGCCCAATTTTCACCCCTTCCATAAATATTTACCGACACAAATATCCGCCGACTCACCGAAAAGCAGCACACGCCATCGCAATCCCCAACACGCATCCTTTGCGCGCGTAATCCTCTTATTTGCATACCGGCCCCTGATTGGCCGGCACAGACCACACCCCTTTTTGTCCACATAGCAACCAGACGGAGCGTAATTATTTTGTAATTAAATCCACCAAAGTTGTTTTCGTGTGCTGCTTCTGATATCTTTCATCGCTCCTGCTGAATTCTAATGTGGCGTGATGTTTTTTGAAATAACTTCCGGATTTACCTAGCAGAGGTACATAACGGGGTTAGGCCTTTTTAATCCCTTTTAAATCCAGGATTAAAGCCAGAATGACGTCAAACGAAATTAAGCCACTAACGTGAGGAATTTATAATTATGTCAAGATTGCTATTTGGGTTTTTAAGACATGTATATTTTTCGGTTCTATAATGTTATTTTTCAAACAGTTAATTTTTTTTATTCATACCTTAAAGCACGGGACAGCGTCAGACTTTTCCTTATTTGCAAATGATCCAATACCAGGGCCCAATTTCATAGAGCTGCTTAAGCAGAAAATTTGCTTAAGCACGAAAAAACATTGCTTAGTAAAATGAGGTTACCGGCCAAAACTCCATGTGATGTACATTGCTTGTGACTGGTATTTAGCTGTTGTTTACTTAGCATAACAATCGCATGGAGTTTTGGCCGGTAACCTGATTTTATTAAAGCAAGACGTTTTTGTGCTTAAGCAGCTCTATGAAATTGGCCCAAGAGGGAGCAGGTAGTGGTGGGCGCGTACTGCTCGATACCCTGGGGAAGAGGTTGGAGGAATCTGCAATCTATTTTTGGGTTTATTGTTGGGTGGACCGCCTTCGTGGGCCGTCCTCCCTGCTAGTGAAATTGAAAAGAGTTAGAGTCCAATGACTGCTTGATGAACAAATTATAGACTTGGGGTCATGCCTTTCGGCTTTTCACATAACATCTACAGTGTGCAACATCAACAATGTAAATGTAGGTTTGCTTCCTATTTTGCTCATGCGCAGAGTTCATTGTTTTGTGATGATGAAAGGCCACGCCCTCTATGCCAATTTAGGCTCGTGGCGGTATTTTGATTTAATCAAATTATCTTCAAATGTAACTCAAGGATTTCTGGGTGTTCCAAATACATCAAATAATCTTGCATCACTTTTTTTTTATCTTATGAAAATGTTGAGTAATATTTTTGAGTGATTTTCCAGACTCATTAATGTGCGCCCCCAACCAGAAAAATAGTCCTGAAGCCAAAACTGCAACCATTTGGACAAATAAAATTCGACGCATTTCATTACTACAATGAATGAGTTTTGAGTCCAGTTTTATCCAAAATGCCTAAAGACAAAGAAATGAAATTCCATATTTTTTTTTATTCATGGCCGGTAACCTGATTTTATTAAGCAAGACGTTTTTGTGCTTAAGCAAATTTTGTGCTAAGTTAAGCAGCTCCATGAAATTGGCCCCAGAGAGAGCAGGTAGTGGAGGGCGCGTACTGCTCGATACCCCTGGGGAAGAGGTTGGAGGAATCTGCAATCTATTTTTGGGTTTATTGTTGGGTGGACCGCCTTCGTGGGCCGTCCTCCCTGCTAGTGAAATTGAAAAGAGTTAGAGTCCAATGACAGTTTGATGAACAAATTACCGACTTGGGGACATGCCTTTCGGCTTTTCACATAACATCTACAGTGTGCAACATCAACATTGTAAATGTAGGTTTGTTTCCTATTTTACTCATGCGCAGAGTTCATTGTTTTGTGATGAAAGGCCACACCCTCTATGCCAATTTAGGCTCGTCCAGCGTGGCGGTATTTTGATTAATCCAATTATCTTCAAATGTAACTCAAGGATTTCTGAGGTGTACCAAGTGCATTTAATTATTTCAAAATGATCTTGCTT